CGTGTTTGCAGTGTAACTGCAGTAGATCCCAAGGCAGCAGTTACCTCTGTGGGAACGAGGGTGTAAGATTGCAATCAGTTGACTCCATTTAACGCTACTTTGCAACAAAGCCCCAAATTCCGACTGGGGACACGTTTCTTGCAAGGATTTATTTTGAAGGTGTCCCTAGAGGTTCGGCCACAGAACAATGAGGGTAAAACATGCGTCATTTCCGGTTTGTAGAATTTCTCTGGAGCGATTAGTGGACGTAAGCTGTAAAAGTGATGAGTGTTTAGCGAGTTCCTGATAACACTGACCTTAAGGTCAGACAGCAGTCTCCAGAACACACACACACCCTGATGGTTCCTTCATGCAGGACAGAGCCCAGATGTCAGACAGCGGTCTCCAGAATACCCCCTGATGGTTCCTTCATGCAGGACAGAGCCCAGACGTCAGACAGCGGTCTCCAGAACACACCCTGATAGTTCCTTCATGCAGGACAGAGCCCAGACGTCAGACAGCGGTCTCCAGAACACACCCCCCCTGATGGTTCCTTCATGCAGGACAGAGCCCAAACGTCAGACAGCGGTCTCCAGAATACCCCCTACGTAAACCACTAATTTGCCTCGCCTAGACTCGATCATTCCTAATGTTGCCATTATGTAACGGTGTAATAGAATGACTGAGTGAATATGGTTTTACGCCGCTTTTTGCCATATTCCAGCAATATCATGGAGGGGAACATCAGAAATGGGCTTCACACATTGTACCCGTCGGCGTGACGAGCGAACGCTTTAATCACAAGGTTACCTCAAAGCCCCCAGTATAGTGGACTTTCATGAGACAGTAGTATTGTATTAAAGCCGGAATAAACGATTCGTGGTCGTTGTTAATCGTACAATAAAACACTGCGCCCCTCATTGTTTATTCTCCCTGCAGTGTTTTATTGTACGATAAACAACTCCCACTCATCGTTTATTTCTTTAAAAAAAAAAAACACCGCAGAGAGATGCAGTGTTTTATTGTACGATAAACAATTCCAACTCGTTTATTTCTTTAAAAAATGGTTTATAATTAAGAAATAAAAGACGAATGAAAAAAACCACACTTCATTCTTTGCGATTTATCGCGTAGCTATCTATATTTCAAGCCTAGCAACGGTTTATAATTGAGATACAATTGAGAAGAAAATAATATACCTAATTCCGTAAGCCCAAAACAACTCAGGTGCAAAGAAAGATACATATACCAGTTTAAAAGGTTCTCGTATTAAGGCATTGGTGCGATGGTTTGTCAGATAACAATTGCCTCATAGATCACTTACACAACTCATCATTCTTAATCTTTCTTAAGACTGTTTCCAATTTGTCGTCTCGAGTATTTGAGTCCTATTCAAAAGTTAACAACTTATGGTGCGGTTAAGGTGAGCCGCATGTAATTTGACACCAATTTGTATCCAGCTGGAGTGAGACTAAGTCTATGAAATTGCCAGTCCTCACCCCGAGACTGACAATGGCACGGTGTTAGATTTAATCAAGAAAGCTGGCTTCGAGGGTGAGGAAGCTCTTAAATCACTATTTTACAGTACTAATTTGATAAAGGGGTATTACGGGATAAAGGCATAGCAGAGAGTAGTGTGTTAGTCCCAGCTCATAGAGGTTCTCAACTGTTCCTGAAACGCTGTCTGAGGATGGGAAGAATGGCCTTTAGTGATTAAGACATTGTCATGTGTCACGAGACCCAAGGCGGACGTCTCTTTCCATGCTTCTGGATGGTTTGCCCGTGAAAACACGTCTTTCAAGTATTCCATCTATACTCGTCACGGGGGCACGGGTGGCCCAACCATCCAAGGCACCGCAATTCGCTGTGCAGAGTTGCGTCCCTTGGACATGCCAGAAACTATGATTGTGGGTTTGAATCCCGGTTTGCTCTGATTACGTTTCTTCGTTTGTCCGCACCATACCCGTCGTCTCGGGTTTCACCAAAGTAGTAAATGTTTGAGACCTGCATCAATTCGGGCTCTCCTCCAAAAAAAAGCTGACACACCGTGTTATAACTGGAATACTGTTCAAAGCGACGTTAAACCGAAGTTACTCACTCGAAAAACTCAATAAAAATGAAACGCGTCACTAGATTTGGGGTACGGGCGGGGGGACTACCGCACATTCATGTTTGAAGTTTTGAGTGATGAAATGATGCAACAGGATAACGGTGGAGACGTCGCACGGAAAATAACAAAGGTCAAGGTCATGATCACTCAATATTTTGAGTGACGATATTTGTGAGTGAGTAAGGTTTTACACGTCTTTTATCAATATTCCATCTATGTCACGGCGGGGGACTGTGACGATATGAGAGTACGGATCACACGTTGAGGAATGTTGGCCCACTCACTTGCCTGTTAGTGCACTTGTTACTTGTTACGCTATGCTTGTAGTAAGAGGCGACTTATGGGATCGGGTGGTCAGGTTCGCTGACTTGTTTGATGCAGGTCATAGGTCCCAATTGTGTGGATCGATGCTCATGATAACACTCACTGGATTGTCTGGTCCAGACTCGATTATTTACAGACTGCCGTCATATAGCCGGAATATTGCTGAGTGCGGCGTTAAACAACAAACAAACAAACATCACACGATTAAGAGGACCACCGGACGAATGTAGTGTGACAACACAGGTATATATATTTGCAGACGTTTCGACCATCTGTGGCTGCTTGTTTAATAGCGCTGGCCCACTGAAATACCATTCCGCAGTTTAACAAGAAAACCCCACCCAAGGCGTATTATACTTCGAGCAAGCTGGACCCAGGCTTATGCCCTAAACTGGCTTAATGCCTAAAAGATGTATTATAATATATAGATATATTATAAGTATGCCTACTCAGTTTTCACCTGTTGAAGGAGAAAGAAGTAGTCCTTTAAAGTGGAGAAGTAGCCCTTTAACGTCAAGAAATAGCCTTTTACGTCTAGAAGTAGTCCTGTGAAAAGTGAAGAAGTAGCCCTTTAACGTTAAGAAATAGCCTTTTACGTCTAGAAGTAGTCCTGTGAAAAGTGAAGAAGTAGCCCTTTAACGTCAAGAAATAGCCTTTTACGTCTAGAAGTAGTCCTGTGAAAAGTGAAGAAGTAGCCCTTTAACGTCAAGAAATAGCCTTTTACGTCTAGATGTAGTCCTGTGAAAAGTGAAGAAGTAGCCCTTTAACGTGAAGAAGCAGTCCTGAAATGTCCAGAAGTAGTCCTGAAACGTCAAGAGGTAGTCATGGAAAGCAAAGTAATACTCCTGGAAAGTGAAGTAGTTGTCCAGAAGTAGCCCTGAAACGTCAAGAAGTCCTGAAATATCAAGAAGTAGTCCTGGAATGTCAAGAAGTAGCCCTGAAACGTCAAGAAGTAGCCCTGAAACGTCAAGAAGTAGTCCTGAAACGTCAAGAAGTAGCCCTGAAACGTCAAGAAGTAGACCTGAAACGTCAAGAAGTAGTCCTGAAACGGCAAGAAGTAGTCCTGGAAAGTCAAGAAGTAATCCTGAAACGTCAAGAAGTAGTCCTGAAACGTCAAGAAGTAGTCCTGGAAAGTCAAGAAGTAATCCTGAAACGTCAAGCAGTAGTCCTGAAACGTCGAGAAGAAGTCCTGAAATGTCAAGAAGTAGCCCTGAAATGTCATGAAGTAGCCCTGAAAAGTGAAGTAGTTGTCCTGAAACGTCAAGAAGTATTCCTGAAACATCAAAGAGAAGCCCTGATATGTCAAGAAGTAGTCCTGAAACGTCAAGAAGTAGCCCTGAAACGTCAAAAAGTAATCCTGAAACATCAAGAGTGAGTGAATGAGTTGGGTTTAACGCCGCTTTTAACAGTATTCCAGTTATATCATGGCATGTCATCTTAGTGTGGGAGGAAAGCCCAAAGTGAAGACATTTACCACTTCAGTGAAACCCATGAGCACGGGTGTGGTGCTGACAAACCTAGAAACATAATCGGGTTGAATTCGGTTTTGAACCCACAATCATAGGTTTCTGGCGTGCCCAAGGGACGCAACTCTGCACAGCGAATCATGGCGCCTTAGACTACTGGGCCACCATCCTTCCCACCTCAAACATCAAGAAGTAGTCCTGGAAAGTAAAAGTAGTAGTCCTGAAATGTCTAGTAGTCCAGAAACATTAAGAAGTAGTCCTTAATTTTCATTGCAAATAATAAAGAAGTTGTGATGTTGCATGTGTTTGTGACGGGTGCCACCTTTTCGTGAACAACTGGTGTCAACACTATTTGATAGTGATTCATCCACACTTCTTTTGGCAGAGATTTCTTATGAATATTGAAATGGGTTTTGTCTCTTTTATTCATAAAGGTTTCAGGTCTTCATTTTCATTATTATCAGATCACGCAGAGACCTACGTATCGGTATACTGGTATCTGAGTAAAAGAGAGTTGGGTTCATATTGAGACCAGGTACATTTCCAGTTACAGCTGCAAAGGCATATATTTTTTAATTTAACTAGGAGACAAAATTTATGTAATTTTTGTGGCAGACCATTTCTTTTTTTTCCCCACAAAATGAAGCATAATTATTTCATTAAAGAATTTTCAGGGACAATTAATTAATTTCGATAAAATCCCAGGCCCCCCAAGAATATCAAATGGTCAGCCCCTAAGCACTCATTCAGAAAAACTGTACTTTATTGTGACATTTGAATATACACATAAATTTACTGCAGGCCACAAGGACCCATACAACCACGGCCGATATGAGATCTACCTGTCACAGGCCTACGGGCAGGCGCTTATTTCAGACACTGCAGCAGGTACAATGACATGGTATAAACTAAGTCCCCTAGCCTGACCACCCAGTCCATTATGTAGCCTCGGACCCCAAACAAGGGTTACTGGGGACTAATTCTATAGGCTTGATTGCTGTGTGAAACAGGACTCACATTACCATGGTCACCAGGCTCCTTCACAACCATGGCGCCATAGTCCAGGGGAAAGGAAAACAACATTTATCAAAACTGACGTAAAGAGAAGACAAATGCAAGACCACAAACTGTAAATTTAATGCCAATGCACCTTGTACAAGAAGATAATAAAAGTAACTGCACCCAGCATTTCCACATGCAACATGTCAAGGAAGGTGCAGTCTCTCAAGGTAATAAATAAGACTCACAGTACACAAGGTGAGAACAGAATTACAGCACATTCAGCTGTTCACCGGTAAGTTGTGTTGGCATGGGATGGTATATTGTGAAGATATTGTTGTTGGTATGGTATGGTATGGTATGGTATGGTATGGTATGGAATGGTATGGAATGGTATGGTATGGTGTGTCAATATTGGTATTGTATATTGTGATGGTATGTTGTGTTGGCATGGTATGTTGTATTGGTTTGGTATGGTAATGGTATATTTTGTTGGTATGGTATGTTGGTATGTCTACGTCAGATTGCTTGAGGTTAGTCAGCAACAGAAATTGGCTCCACCAATGGTCAGGAATCAAACTATGTTGTACTACAAGTCTTTTGTTAAGTTTCACATGTTTCTACTATTAACTGGACGTGACCCTTTTTGGAAAGACAAAACTATATGTTGTAAAAATTGTTCGTGTATTGTGTTTGTTGAACTATTTTGTAGTGGTTGATTTGTTTAAGAAACTACTGATAACACTATTACACATTAACATTGTTCTTATTCCGCTTCACATCCTTCATCAACACAGACTACACAAGATTCCTCAATCAGGCTCTATCTCTTATCCATCAGAGCAGTCAACACATACCACAATACACCTACTTGCTCTTGATACAATCATGGCAACTGTTATTTGAGTTCCCTGTCAAATGCCCCTGCTGCTTTTTCATACAAAAAGATGTTACCATCTAAAATAACATACACTGCTCCTTGTCCAATTGTCTTCAGGTACCGATGGAATCTAAGACACATAGAAAAATTAAATCAATGTCAAAATATAACTGTCTCCAAAAGATGCATGGAAATTCAGGATACAAGACAGTTAACGACTGGTGGTCGTTGTTTATCGTACAGAAAACACTGCAGGGAGAATAAACCATGAGGTGCACACCCTGGTTTATTCTCCCTGAAGTGATTGAAAAGTATTTACCCCTATTTAAATAATGTTAACTCCCTGAAAACAATCTGATCTTGGAAATGTTGGACAAGTCTATTTTATGATCAGGGAAGTTAAATTTGGTATTTCCCGGATATTCTTACAGTTTACAGGTCAATTATCTGTACCTTTTCTCTAAATATCGATACACATATCTCTCCCACTTTTGGGTGCAATCAATTGGCCATTGTGTTTATCTATGTTGCCCAGCTACGTCTGTGGAAACAACTCACCAGATATGTCCCGCTAAAAAAATAACGTTGTCCAATTTACGATGTCATGAAATTGCAAGCTCATGTTCGAATCTCCATAAATGACATCATGATAGAACGTTTCGTGATAATAAACCATGCTTTGTTCTTCATTGTTCTTTGCGATTTTATCGCGTAGCTATCTTACATAAGAAAGTATAGGAGTCTATACATACTACTCAAAACAAGTAATAGGACACCCACAGTTAGAAGGCTGTGTTGCAATACAAGCCATGACAGAATATCTATATTCATACTAAAATTATCAGGTACTCTTTAACTCCTTTTTAGTAGTACATGTATATCATAAACTAGCAGTTGATCAATTAGGATGCCAAACTTTAGTCACTTCTTTGTTTGAATGTTGTTGATGGAGGAACAAGCCTGTGACATACTGGCAATGACATTAACATGCTTTATCTGTTGTCAATTATCACTAGACCATGTAGACAGCGCGAACATAATCAAAACACAGTGCCACACAGTAGTAAATCTGTTCTATTTCTTTGTTTGTCAATCATCCACAATCAATAACAATCTGCCAGATGATATGTCATACTTCATGTCCACATGTCCCATCCTCGAGTATCCAGGCTACCATGTCTCCATTTGATTTTGATAGATACCCTGGGTCCATTCTCCATTAAAGCTTCATTTCAGGAAACAACACAACCATCACCATCACTCTTATCACCAGCTTAGCTCAGAATAACTTTCACTCGTGTGTTATTTGACAGGACAGCATGTCAGTTGAATGGGTCTCATTCTAACGGGTACCCATTCACTGCTGGAGAATGGCAAATAAAACAAAATTCCCATACAAGTCTTAATAAACATGATAAACATAACTGCAATGATTAACTCTCGTTCCAAAGTTATGCAAAAATAGTAACAACACAAGAAACGTGTTTCAAATTAAATTTGAGAGACAATACCATACAATCAACATTTTCCAGTACATATAACACATCAATCTAATCATAAATGTCGGTGGCCATATAAACCTAATCGAACTCGGTTATGATACAAGCCTATATGACCTCAAAATTTCTCAGGGAACTTGTTCCATAAAAGGAATAACTCATGAATATTAATGACCTAACGACCTAGTTTTGCGATGTTTGTACAAGTGAGTTCTGCTGTAGTTTCTACGTGTTTGTATATTCTTATCCGATTAAAAGTCACAATACTCATTTTAAATAGTAGTTCTTGATACAGATTTTTGACGTAGTACATATTCTCTACAACAAGTGCGTTAGTTTTGAATGTGGGCCCACCTCAAACTTTCGATTAGGCAAGCGGAGTTAGCTCCCTTATTGAACCACCGATAATGCGGTTCCGCCCAAACATATATACAAGTCAAAAGGAACTTGTAGTGTAACCACTGAGTTATTGGGATTTTTTGTCATTAAACAGTGTATCACTAACTAACCACGGGGGTCTGGGTCGTACTGTGGGTCCCCGGTTCCTACTCAGGACCCACCCGACCCGAGAGCCTGAGTTACCCATCCCAGCCCTAGTCCCAATGTATTGTTTGTTTGACTGACTCTGAGTAAAACAGATCTTCTACTCTGATACCACTCTGTATGGAGACCTGGTGAACAGCACATCAGCTGAACCCTGTGCAATCTTTGAAGGATGCATAGATTCTTGAGCCAGTCAGATTCACCGTAATGTCTTCACGATCTCAATTTGGAAATTTCTATCTTTAAAAAGAAAACACACATGAACACAAGTGTACCCTCGATAGCATGGTCACATGTAGGACACAATTTGGGTGGAGATGCCATGGCGTTAAGGAACAACAGGGTATGTAAATATCCACGACAACATAATAGTGTGAACTGTATTATTTTCCATTTGGAACTGCCCATTTTTGTTTGTTTTCAAGATACAGAAATAAGATATGCTGCTCTGAATGTTTCACTTGCTCATACAAAACATTTAGATGTTCAATGCTGATTGCTTCCTACATGTTAGATCTCCATACAGAGTTGAATAGTATAGGAGCAAGGATCTGTATTGAATGAGATTGAACTCCTGTTTGAGATCACAACCCTATTACCAGAACACATACCAAATAACAGCAAAGCGCATTGTTACCATGGTTACAGGACTATTTTTAACACTGTAAAACAAAACAGTACCACACCCACAAGCAAGAAAATCCCAGTTTGGGGTAGAATCAGTCCAGTTGTAGGTTGCTGGTAAGGTATAGTAGAGCTGTAGTAGTCTCATTGTTAGGCATGACGCTGTACGCCTGCCGCAGGCCGTCAGTCGACTGGTCGTAAGACTCCTCCATTGAAGCACTGATAACGTCTTGAACTAGAGTGGGCTGCTCCGTGACAGTGTGAACAGTCTGCAGAGCATCTGCATCCACCGTTGTCAGCTGCTCCACGGCCAGGTTCTGCATCTCGCGCATGCCCGGAGTGTCGTGAGTCCGAACATGCCGGCGCAGAGCGTACTTAGTGTTGAAGCGTTTGCTACACTTATCACAGCCGAAGGACCGGGGATTCACATGAATTGTCTGGATGTGCTTTTTCTGCACGTTCTGAGTTTTGAAGGAAGCTCCACAGTGATCACAGAGGTATGGTCGCTCGGTCGAGTGCATTGTCAGGTGTTCGGCCAGGTGTGACTGCATAGAAATCATAGGTAGGTATAGTGGTTGTTCACATGCTTATTAAGATAATATAACAATTCAATATGGAATAATAATAACAACAACAACAATAATAACAATAATAATCTATGTTTTCAGGGCTCACATTTCGGTGAACACACATTTATCCCTTGACCCATTCCCGTAGTTCTCCCGATCTCAAATTACCTGCCCCTGATTTTCATTAATATTATACCGACTGATCAAATGTCGAGATACGGAAAAATGGAAGTGGGTAAGGGAGGTGACTGGAAACCAAAGCCAACGACAGAATCTCAGACTGAAGACTGTGTTTTCATTTTCAAAAATACATAATGTTTTCATTTCCATGCCATGAACAAATGGTCTTACTCATCTTTATAAAGTTTCAGCTCTCCGAGCCCTGTCGTTTTCTGAGGAGTGAGAACTTTACAGATTTTCAAAGTTTGATTTTTTTCTGATTTTTTTTTTTAATATTCTTATGTCACTGGAATGATAAAATCTACATCATATCAATGATTTCAGATTCCTAGACCTCATGGTTTTCAAAAGATATATATATATATATATATATATATATATATATATATACTTATTTTAAACATGTTTAAACCATGTAAACAAGTTTAAAAGAAAATAATATTTCTTTTTAATGCCATGACCAAATCTCAGTCTTATTATGACATGTTTGATACCTGACATCCAACTGAACATTCGGGATCAGTCCTTCATCATCTTGGAGAAGAACAGACCAACAGGACACCGCATCCTTTGAGTGAGTGAGTCTGGTTTACGCTGCTTTTTGAAATATTCAAGCAGTATCATGGCAGGGAATACCAGAAAATGGCTTCACACATTTTACCCATGTGGGGAATCTAACCCAGGCCTTTGGCATGATGGGTGGACGCTTTCGCCACAAGACTACACCACCAATCCTCACCCTTCAAGCTTAAAACTAAGACAAGAAACACAAACCTGAGATCGGAAGCCTTTCCCACACTGCTTACAATGGAAAGAAAAGTTTCTGTCTTTACGATCCTGATGAGTCAGTTTATGTTGAGCTAGTGTGTCTGGTCGTTTGAAGGCCATTCCGCACAGATCACATAAATAAGGCCGACTGTTTCCATGGACATTAGCACGATGCCGTAGATAGTGCTCTTTGCGATAAGTCAAATATTCACAGTCAGGGCAGGGATAGCTCAGCTTCAACCCTTCAAGTTCACCAGTTGTCAAATGTATCTGAATGTGGCGAGCCATCAACGAGTCTTGGCTGGTTCTATAGTTACACTCAGGACACTTCAGATGGGCCGATTTTTTGGGTGTGTGTTTCAGCCGCTTGTGTTTAAGAACTAACTTGGCATTGTCTGCCTTGTATGGACACTGTTCACACTTGTGTCCCTGTCCACTGTGGGTGATCTCGTGTCTGCGCATGACACTGTAGCGGATGGCGATGAAGTTGCACTGACTGCATGGGTACAGGCGAGTGTTCTTCTCATGGAGAACCATGTGTTTGCTCAGGTGACTCTCTCGCTTTGTCTTGAAGGAACAAATCTTGCAGAAGTACTTGAATGGTGTTCTCAGCTCGTATTTCCTTCTGCTTTTTGCTCTTTCCTGTATTCGTAACTCGTCTGAAAAAGACATTACAGGATACTAGTAAAAATATGTTACTACTATTATAGTGTTTCAATTAGGCAAAAAAAAGAATAGTCTTGGCTCGTAGGCACTGCCCGCATCATAATAGAGTCTGCTGCCTGTTTCGTTTTTTTTTCCATTTTCAAAAGGATAAAAAAAATCCTGATATGCAAAAATAATGTGTTCCAAAATATCACACAGTTACTTCCTTTTAAATGCGTACTGCTTTACTGCACATCTGATGTTATGGTCATAGCAGCAATAGGAGTTTGTATGCTTGTTTATATCGGGAGGCCCTTTCCCAGGTTGATGGTACACAACAGTTCATTTGGTTACATACTAGTTTGAACAAGCAACGACAAAAAACACCGCCGGCCCGCACTATATTTTCAAAAGCCATTGCCTGAGAACCAATCCTTTCTCTTTTTAGGCCTTAAGACAGGTAGCTCAGTAATCACGTCGGCAGGTCCTGAGTAGGATCCAGACATCCACAGGAGTCACATGCTACATTGTTTAATGACAAAAACAATAAAATGTCACAGTCTCACAACAAGTCACTAATCTTTTCATTTCTCTGCGACTGTGCACACATTCCTTCAGAATTTTCAATCAAACTTGCTTGGACTAAAAATTGTTGCTTTTGTGTATGAGGGAGTAGGGTTATGCCCCTTGTAACATATATATCACGGTGGGGGACACCGTAACTGTGCTTCACACATCGTTGTACCAATTGGGGAATCAACCCAGGTCTTCGGTTTGATGAACGAACACATTAACCATCAGGCCATAGTTTAGTTTTAGACATTCTTTTCCATGACAATACTCTTCCTGCATTCCTTTAGTCTGACAGATGTTGACAGATGTTGACAAGTATATGGTGAAGGTGAGGTGAAATGGGTGTGTGAGTGTGTGGGTGCCTGCTTATACTAGTTTGTGTGTGTGTGTGTGTGTGTGTGTGTCTATGTCTGCACATACTAGTTCGGAGTCCAGGGAGAATGGGTCAAGAGACTTAAAGTGTGGATTGGGTGATCACATGTGTGACCTTGCTTTGTGTCTTCATGTTCCAGACCTGAACATTTACATGTGTGCAGTGATATTCCTGGAGTACTGCAGACAGCATCTTAAATCACACACACACACACACACACACACACACACTCACTCACTACCTGCATCGCCTGTAGCAGTTCCCCCTCCTCCAGCTCCACTGCTGGTGACCTTCACCTTGTCCCCCTGGGACTTGGGAACCCTCTTGGGATGCAGCATCTTCCTGTTGCGCTTTGTTCGCCGAGGTTTGTATTCCTCGTCCTCCTGGTCCATGTCCCCGAGCTGCACACAGCCACTGTAGCGGAGGGGCTGGTGGACCTCCCGCCCATGGGACGACACGAGCGGCACCAGCAGGTTACAGTTGGTGCCCTTGCTGTCCTGCTCGACCTTCACGTCACATGCAGCAGGGCTGTCTTCTTTGTTGTCATCAACAAATTCTAATCTGAAATGAAGGAAATATTAATATTGCCTGCTGTACAAAATTCCAGGGCACAAAAGGACTAGAATAATGCATGTACACACAGGTGATGTTACTTGCTACTTGTCTTCCTTTTGACCCTGGGACAGATATCAAGGATTGCTAGCCTCACCTTCTTTCAGACATTTTATTCTAAACTATGATGACAGTCAGCCTCTAAGTTTCAACATCCTGGATCTGCCTCTTTGTGTTTCATTACAACATACATTACTTGTCTACCTCTGAAGCCCACGTTACGTTTTCAGTACAGAAAAGGTCCCCAGTTCCCCCAACCAATGAGGACCAGGTAGTTACCATGGTAACACTGCGTGACCCGACTGAGTGTGTGCCATTGTAGATCCAAGGCATGGATCTTTGCTCATGCTGTCAACCATGCTCCCCACTTGCCTGAGGGTAGGGTGTTGAGGAGAGGAATGGATGTCCCTCTACATGTCCTTGTACATGTTTTAAATGACCCATCCCAAAAATGTGTACCTATTAGTTTTTACGACCCTCCCCAGAGACTGTCATATTTTCAAATCCCTTGATCCACTGACCATCCCAACCTCCATAATAAATTACCTTTATGTTTACAAGCCAGTGATGACAGTCATGACGCCGAATACTCTAACCCCAGCTAAATTATTTTCTTTGTAACTTTGAATTTCTATTTCATTTCAACTAGCATGAAATAGGAATAATAAGAATGTACGGGGAAATTTGGGAGATTTTCCACTTGTATGCAATCTCGAACAAACCTGATTAAACAAACATAAAGGTAACTTCATTTGGGTAAACTGGACAGACATAAACCTTTTCAAAATGCACAATGATGGCATTCCCAAAGACATACACAAAAATATAAACGTGACTACATTTGGGGTTAGTTCATTCTTGTAATGGCCGCTTCCACGCTGACGGCAGCGATGTTGCCGAGAGTGTAATGAAGGTGTCACAAGCTGGGAAGGAGCTGGCAGAACAGCATACAAGGGAGGCAACTCTCATGAGTCATTTTTACCCTGGCATTGACTCTGACAACAACATGTCCAAAATACATATGTAGCCAAACTTATTCATCACTATTTCATCCTTCAGCAGAAAACAGCAAGAGCGATAATTTCTTAAAAAATGTTATTCTTGTTAGGCCACTCACTTACACCAGGGTACTCCAAGAATCCAGAATTTAGTGCAATGACCATGGAATTATTGACAGACGAGCACAACAACAGGGGCAATAGCTAGAGTTCAGTCTCGTTTGTTTGAACTGTAGATGTTGTGTCTTGCTTTTGTCGTGGCTCATTTTCAGTGGTTTCATAGGTACACATGAAAATTTCTTAATTGAACATATAGTTGTTATACAATGAAAAAATACATGTGAACTCTAGTCTTTCGGGATCCCATGAATTTGCCTTACTAATACAATGATTACTGTTACCATAAATCCACTCGTAAGTTTGTTTGTGATGCATGTCATAGCTAGATACAATACTAAGGTAACGATACCATAAATGCATCTTCTATACCTCCAGGGCTTGCATTTCAGTCAACCTCCACTAACCCCTGGATCCATTCCCGTGGTTCTCATAATCACTGTAGAGACTTACCTCGTTTTTGTACAGAAGGGCATCATGGCCTGCAGTTTGTTGTAGACACGGACCAACATGCTGACGTTGCCGATGATGGTGTAGTCCTTCTCCCTGTCGATGTTGAGGTGCGTGCGCACATCGGCCTGCACCTCGTCCAGCAGCACCGAGTGGCTGCCTGGTATAGCGTGCAGCAGTGCAGCGGACAGGGTCGCTGACACTTGACAGAAGATCTCTGGCTGGAACGGTCAAGGCTCTCAGTGAGTGAGATGTGTTTTAAGCCGCTTTCAACAGTATTCCAGTTATATCACAGCATGGAAGGAAGGTGGGAGGAAGGCCCAAAGTAATGCAGGTTTCAGATGTTTACCACTTTGGTGAAACCCACAAGCACAAGTATGGTGCTGACAAACCTAGAAACATAATCAGGGCCGGGCTAACAGGGGTTAGAACATACGATTATAGGCTTCTGGTGTGCCCAAGGGACAAAACTCTGCACAGTGAATTATAAGACACCTTTAACAATTGGGCAACTCCTCCCCCCCTTCATCGTGCCTTCTTTTATGCTTATCATTTACCTAAGGCCTCAGTATAAATTATTTGGTTCACAGATTCTTTTTCAAAACCATTTGCATGATACAGCCTCAGGTCATGGTGGATGAAATACAAAGCATGTCTTTTAAGTATTAGCATTAGGGGATGAGGAAAGAGATAGAACAAAAGAGGTTTTCTGGAATGACAAGTCATTGAGTTACTTCCCTTCCCCCATATGCCTGTTTGTCAACTTGCTGCTGATTTAAGTCACAGACTTGACATGAATAAACTAAAATGTTTTAAACACTATTCAATACAGTTATACAATGTGTGAACTTTGGGGGCTGTTGAGCTGTTAAACAAGTTATCAAAACAATATCCATGATACCTAAGAAATAAAGGAAATCAAGGCAAAGGCATACCTAAATTATGGGTAGTTTGTAAAATGATCGTATTTTCATATCAACTTTGCAATGATTTGAAATAAATAATTAACAAATATAACCCCCTTTTTCACTGTCAAAAGCAAATTAATGTATCAAAAGCTAAAGGTTTTTTAACATGTTAGAGTGGAGCTCAACGAGGCAACATTTCATTGAACCTTTTCATAGAACCATATACAATATCAGACAAAAATAATGTAAGAGGATGAGTAACGGGATTGTTCATACCTGCCACAAATGGGATAATCCAATAGACATGCTAGATACCTACAAATTATTGACAGCAGTATTATTTTGCTAATCTCAGGTTAACATTCCTACCCTGAACTTACAGTAAACTCTTCTCTGTTCAGATTTGCTGGTTCAGTCCGAGTGTCCGAAGCCCCTGCTTGAAGCTGCACCTGAACCGATGTCTCTACTGAACCCTTGACCAATGCCTCCTCCACCACTGCTGAGAAGGTCGCTGTAGGCACTCCAACAACATCATCCACAACAGTGTTGCCCGGGAAATGACCTTGGCCATCAATCTGAGCATCGATTACGTTCTGGGCAACAAGAGATTCTTCCAGCTTTGGAGCAACATCCTCAATGGCTGTGATGTGGCTACCTTGTTCAATGGACTCGATGTCAGCGGCTCCATCAATCTGTTCCAAGTTGAAGGGCAGGGTGTGGAAGGTGATGAGAGTGTTCTGTGGCACCAGCGCCCACTGAGACTGAGAGGAGTTAAAGTCCCCACCAATAGATGTCGCCACAGACACAGCATCCGGATCACCAACACCAACATTCTCTTCACTTTGTCTGGAGAACAGATGACAGTCAAACAATATCTAGAGTCACAGCTGAAAGGGCTCAATTTAAGGAACTAGATATAGCTTGCGCCTGGTCATATTGCCAAGGCAGGGAGGTAACTGACTGTAAAAGTCCAGTTTCAACCATCGCCGAACTAGACTGGAATTTCTGGGTTCGATAGTAGCGCCACCAGAGGCTATTATGAGTTATGTCCCTTCTAGTCCCTCCTATTGACCAATCAGATTCCACCTCTCATATCACTCGGATTTGCTTCAAACAAAATGGCGTTGCCAAGTGAAGATGATCTGATCAGTAATCAAGATCTATATTGTAATAAAATGTGTCTTACTTTGCGAAGTGCATCAAATCACATGAGAACCGTGAGTAATAACATGAAAAGATTTGGAACACATCTTTTGTTGCTGAGTTGTTGGTACACATGCTTTGCAAAGCCTGCAATTGACAGAAATTTGCACAGCAATTTACAAATTGATGTTGATTTTGCTACGCAATTTTGATCGGACTATACATAGACTTGTTTGTCTAGCTAAAGTATAACTCCATAAGACCATAATTTCAGCCTAGTTCGGCTGGGGCGGAAACTTGACTTTTAAAGTCAGTTAAATCCCTCGCCTCGGGAAGATGGCACTTGGTTCATGCTGACAAACTTTCATAATGAAACTTGGAAGCAAATAAATCACATGTGTCTTTGACCCTTGGTTATTGCTGCTCTTTCAAAATCTGTGGCACTTCACTTTTTAGCAAAATTCATGCATAATCATGTTTTGGCCTGGTTTGATCAATTAATATGTGTGAACTTTCTCTAAAAAGTCCTGTTTTCTGATATTGTTTTTTCGCCCTACCTTAAGAATACAGTACCACAAAATTCTTCACACAAAAACATGGAGAAAGCAGGATGAAATTGTTTAGTGTCAAATATTTTGGCGACTGGAAACAGTCCTGGAACAGTCACACAAGCCAATTTCACCAGCTACATTTATTCAGTAATGGCATGACTAGGTAAATTTGCACTCAGTTTCACAGTGTGGCCGTAGCTCAGTCGGTTAGCTGTCGGGCCAACAATCCGACGGTTGCATCCGATTGATTCTCACAAAAACTGGTTGCTTAAATTGTCTTTGAGAGAGAACTAGTGGTACTGTATTCTAAAGGTGCTCTATTTTTTTCTTCAACTGGTATGGTCATATATTTTTTAATCATTGTCTTATGTCGTTTTTGATGACATCCTGCATATTCTTAGTGACATCATTTGAACAAAATTGTTTGTTTGTTTGTTGTTTAATGCCATATGACGGCGGTCTGTAGATAATTGAGTCTAGACCAGACAATCCAGTAATTGACATCATGAGCATCGATCCACGCAATTGGGATACAATGAGATGCATTAACCAAGTCAGCGAGCCTGACCACCCAATCCCATTAGTCGCCTCTTATGACAAGCATAGTCACTTTTTATAACAAGCATGGGTTGCTGAAGACCTATTCTACCCCGGATCTTCACGGATCCATTAGAACAATAATAATGGGTTATTTGGCATGTGTATCCAGTGTTGGTCCTTGAGATTGCAGGTGCAATACAGTTACTATTATTAATAGTAGCCTCGAGACTACCCTAAATCTTCAACTTGTAACATTTTGTTGAGTGTCACTAGGTCTTGGATGGCTAACTCGGGTACCCAGTTTCGGGTGGGTACTGAGTCGGACCCGGGTACCCTCAGGACTACCTGGACCAATGGTAAGTAACCTGATATAGTTTAAGGACAAAAATTCACTGTAACTCCAAGGTTACACAACAAGTCGCTAATGTTCACATTTCCTTCTCTCTATGCACGCACTTCTTGTGACTTTCATATGTTTTGAGTAAAGGTAAAGCTTCAGTCAACTACAGTGTATGCATGACCAGACCCTATTTCTTTGTATCCCCTTGTTATGGGTATTCGGACGCTTAGAAACATTCGTAGTTTTCTCCCAAATCACATGAACAACTGTAAAACATCCCATTCACTTATAAAAGACAACTTTTTGTTAAAAACAAGCCATCATCTGGCTATTTACAATGTCTGTTGATGTTACATTTCCCGTTATAGCGGGAATAGGCCCAAGTCGCGATTAACATTGCCGTCCGAACACCGATGATCATGTTGATCCGACGATATGCATAACTATCAAAATAGTTTTGGCCAGGCTCCAGTAAAACAATTCTCAATCGAACATTTTGTACCCAACTTTTGAGAGCTACAGCGGGTACCCGGGTAGGGTCGGGTACCCGGCTAGTAAATTTGGACTCGTACCAGCCCTGAGAGTTACCCCATGAATTTCGAACATTTGTGTGATTTTGTCAGTGTTTCTCCACAATGACTAGTTTTAACATTCATTGATTTAGCCGATTCTGTTACACATAAATTACTACAGCTTGTGATTAACACAATGCGGAAACATTTGCTCATATTTGTCACAGAATAAACTTTTGAGAACCGACCGCTTGACCCTGTCAGTGTGAAATAGCATCGTAGAACATGAAACTCACGGTGCAAGTGTTGGTTCGGTTTCCTCTTCCATTCCAGAGACACAAGCAGAATAGTAGACAACTATAGCTAATGACTTATTTCTACCGACGGTGTGAACTTGAAGATGACGGATTCAGTCGCCATAATCCCTTACGGATGCCATTTTACTGTTGGAACTGAATGGCGTTGCCTGAAAAGGAAATTGAATTTCAGAGTTACAAACCAGATTATTGATCTTTCTGCCATCTTGTGAAATATTTAGGTTGTTTCTAGTTGTACTTACATTACTGATAATCGCCTTACTTAGCTCGTAATGTTACAACACGTTTGTGAAAAGACAGAAGAGAAATCCTATGATTCGGATTATGATACCGGAATAATTACGGAAAATATATCATTTTCATTCGGCATTTTCGGACACAACATTATTTTTCATTAACTTTCATGCTTAAACTAAGGACTTAAATACTATCATGTGTGAAAATAACAAAGATATGACGACATCCGAAAAACAATGTCCAACAAAAAACGTTATGTACGTCCACACCATTTTCCGGATTTTAACATGTTTTCAAAGGGAAGTAATATCAATTTTCCGTTGCCGGAGTACCACTAATAGGTGGAACATATAATATATTACGTGCGCTTTAATTTTCTATTCAAAACGGGAATCGGATAAGTTTGTACGAGGCATGAACTGGATACGTCATTGTCAAACCGTCATATGTTTATCTCCCGCACTAATTCACTACCTTAGATTCGTTTTGACCCGATTCGAAAAAAATAAGACGCTTATAGTAGCTGTCCAATCAAATTATTCTCGCGAGTGATATAAATTCTGTGCGAAATTAAAGATGGAAGCGATTTAATTTCGATATAAAAAAGGAAATGATCATGATGTGTTGGTGATTTATAGGTATTTAGTGCTATATTTGATGTTTCCAAGTTACTATTTAAATGTATTTCTACTTAAATTATTGTTACCCACGACGTCACATGATACTCGTGTTATACACGTATTTCTACTAATCGTTGTTAAAATTCAGATAAGAAAATACCAGTATCTCTAACATCCTGAACAATCGAAATGTATGTATATCCGTATTTAAACACCGGTTTAAACTGGCCAGGCTATACAACATAAGATAGGGTTGCTTTTGTAATCTAGTAGTATTCATTTTAAGGATTTTACACCAGCACGAAATACATTTGAAAATACTGGTAATATAGATGGAGTGTCTCCCACAATCACCTGTCAACTGCCAGAATAAACCACTTTACATATCATCTGAAAACTGGCAGTATAAATAACTGCCACGGTAAATGACTTTACATATCTGACAATTGTCGGTGTAAATCACCTTACATATCTGACAACTGCAGGCGTTAATCACTTTACGTATCTGACAACTGCTGGTGTAAATCGCTTTACGTGTCTGACAACTGCTGGTGTAAATCACTTTACGTGTCTGACAACAGTTACTGCTTGCTGCTGGTGTAAATCACCTTACATATTTGACAATTGCTGTTGTAAATCACTTTACGTATCTGTCAACTGCTGGCTGATGGTGTAAAACACTTTACGTATGTGACAACTGCTGGTGTAAATCACTTTACGTATCTGTCAACTGCTGGTGTAAATCGCTTAACGTGTCGGACAACTGCTTGGGTAAATCACTTTACGTATCTGTCAACTGCTGGTGTAAATCGCTTTACGTGTCTGATAACTGCTGTTGTAAATCAATATACGTGTCTGACAACTGCTGGTGTAAATCAATATACGTGTCTGACAACTGCTGGTGTAAATCAATATAAGTGTCTGACAACTGCTGGTGTAAATCACTTTACGAATCTGACAACTGCTGGTGTAAATGACTTTAGCTGTCTTACAACCGTGGTGTAAATAACTTTACGTGTCTTACAACCGTGGTGTAAATCACTCTACGTATCTGACAACTGCTGGTGTAAATCAATATACGTGTCTGACAACTGCTGGTGTAAATCAATATAAGTGTCTGACAACTGCTGGTGTAAATCAATATACGTGTCTGACAACTGCTGGTGTAAATCAATATAAGTGTCTGACAACTGCTGGTGTAAAGCAATATACGTATCTGACAACTGCTGGTGTAAATCAATATACGTGTCTGACAACTGCTGGTGTAAAGCAATATACGTATCTGACAACTGCTGGTGTAAATCAATATACGTATCTGACAACTGCTGGTGTAAATCAATATACGTGTCTGACAACTGCTGGTGTAAATCAATATAAGTGTCTGACAACTGCTGGTGTAAAGCAATATACGTGTCTGACAACTGCTGGTGTAAATCAATAAACGTGTCTGACAACTGCTGGTGTAAATCAATATAAGTGTCTGACAACTGCTGGTGTAAATCACTTTACGTATCTCTCAACTGCTGGTGTAAATCGCTATACGTGTCTGACAGCTGCTGGTGTAAAGCAATATACGTGTCTGACAACTGCTGGTGTAAATCAATATACGTGTCTGACAACTGCTGGTGTAAATCAATATACGTGTCTGACAACTGCTGGTGTAAATCAATATACGTATCTGACAACTGCTGGTGTAAATCAATATACGTATCTGACAACTGCTGGCATAAATCACTTTACGTATCTGACAGCTGCTGGTGTAAAACACTTTACATACATGACAACTTCTGGTGTAAATCACTTTACGTATCTGACAACTGCTGGTGTAAATCAATATACGTATCTGAAAACTGCTGGTGTAAATCAATATACGTGTCTGACAACTGCTGGTGTAAATCACTTTACGAATCTGACAACTGCTGGTGTAAATAACTTTACGTGTCTTACAACCGTGGTGTAAATCACTTTACGTATCTGACAACTGCTGGTGTAAATCAATATACGTATCTGACAACTGCTGGCATAAATCACTTTACGTATCTGACAACTGCTGGTGTAAATCAATATACGTATCTGACAACTGCTGGCATAAATCACTTTACGTATCTGACAGCTGCTGGTGTAAAACACTTTACATACATGACAACTTCTGGTGTAAATCACTTTACATATCTGACAACTCCTGGTGTAAATCACTTTACGTATCTGTCAACTTCTGGTGTAAATCACTTTACATATCTGTCAACTTCTGGTGTAAATCACTTTACGTATCTGACAACTTCTGGTGTAAATCTCTTTAAGTACCTGACAACTGCTGGTGTAAAACAATATACGTGTCTGACAACTGCTGGTGTAAATCACTTTACGTGTCTGACAACAGTTACTGCTGGCTGCTGGTGTAAATCACCTTACATATTTGACAATTGCTGGTGTAAATCACTTTACGTATCTGTCAACTGCTGGCTGCTGGTGTAAATCACCTTACATATTTGACAACTGCTAGTGTAAATCACTTTACGTATCTGTCAACTGCTGGTGTAAATCGCTTGACGTGTCTGACAACTGCTGGTGTAAATCACTTTACGTATCTGTCAACTGCTGGTGTAAATCGCTTTACGTGTCCGACAACTGCTTGTGTAAATCACTTTACGTATCTGTCAACTGCTGGCGTAAATCACTTTACGTGTCTGACAACTCCTGGCTGCTGATGTAAAACACTTTACATATGTGACAACTGCTGGTGTAAATCACTTTACGTATCTGTCAACTGCTGGTGTAAATCGCTTTACGTGTCTGACAACTGCTGGTGTAAATCAATATACGTGTCAGCAACTGCTGGTGTAAATCAATATACGTGTCTGACAACTGCTGGTGTAAATCAATATACGTGTCTGACAACTGCTGGTGTAAATCAATATAAGTGTCTGACAACTGCTGGTGTAAAGCAATATACGTGTCTGACAACTGCTGGTGTAAATCAATATACGTGTCTGACAACTGCTGGAGTAAATCAATATACGTGTCTGACAACTGCTGGAGTAAATCAATATACGTGTCTGACAACTGCTGGTGTAAATCAATATACGTATCTGACAACTGCTGATGTAAATTACCTTACATATGTGACGCCTTCTGGTATGAATCTCTTTACGTATCTGACAAACGCGCGCGTTACATTGACTCATCCGTATACACTCCGTTTGTTTGTGTTTTTGTTATTTGAAGCCGCACTCAGCAAAATGACGGCGGTCTGCAAATAATCGGACCAGAGAATCCATCGACTGGCATCATGTGCATCGATCTACACAATTGGGATATGATGACACGCATCAACTGCGTCAGCGAGGCTTGACCACCCGATCCCGTTTGTCACCATTTACGACAAACATTGGTTGCTGAAAACCAATTCTAACTCGGAATAAATTCCGTTGATCCATTTATCCATACAGTTAGTAAGTTTGACCGCTTTGAACAGTATTTTAGTTATATCACGATGCGTCAGCTTGATGTGGGAGGAAAGCCCGACGTGTCGCATGTTGGATATGTTCACCGCTTTGTTAAAACCCCACGAGGACCAATGTGATGCTTTCAAACCGTATCAAACGAATCTGGTATTGTAAACTACGATCTGAGGATCCAGACTCGTAAGGGACGCATCTCTGCAATGTGAATCGATTCGCCTTAGATTGCTTGGCCACCAGTGGCCACATAGCTTCATAGGGAAAGGGTAAATCGGTGTCTCTACTTTTAACAGAGTACCAGCAAGCAACAACTGTCTCATTTCCAGGTTTCTTGGACGAAATACTGAGTATTCCCTACTTTATGTAAATACTAGTGTGTAGCCGGTGTCGCATCCGGCACTTCATCATGCCTCAAGTCCCGAAAATCGGAAATCCGTGTCCTCTCACACCTACATGTAGCAACAGTTATCTATCTCGAAATAGCCAAAAGGAGATTCCTAATTATATTCACTGAAATGTGTATTTGCTATTATGTTTTTGGAGAGGAATGCGTTTTAGAATGTAGTATAAAAATAACATGTTTATTTCTCAAAAACATTTTACAAAACCTGATAAATAAGGAGCTAACTATTTACATAAAAAAATACATGAGCCAAGTTTAATTTGTTGGTTCACATGACATCACATCGGCATATTCAGTATATACAATACACTCCTGTCTCATATATCACCATCACAAACTACCGATATTGTTTCCATGTAAGAGCATGATCCTTTCTAGGTGTTTCGCATCATCACACGGTCATTTCAAACACGTGGATGAAATGTGACAATAGAGCAAACAAAAATAAAACCAAAAAGATTCTGACGAGGAACACTTCTTTTCATTGTTCATGGCTCAAAGCGTGGTAACTGGTCGAAACGTATGACATATGAGTCCATTCACATCTGTATATTAAATGTGGTATGGCTTGGTCCTTGTTCTGTGTATATATTGGGCTGATCACTATATGTACTGTCCAAAATATACAATGTTCTCCATGCAAATGTCTCTGACGTTGTCGGTCTATCCCATGCAGGATGTGTCTATACTATGATAGTACAGAGTGACATGACAATAGCCAGCAGTGTTGGGACATGAACTTGTGGGTTGGTCCCTCTCGAGGATTGCCCGGAAGAACTGGGAGACACACTGGTTGCTGATTGGTCAGTTGAGGAAGGCGCGTCACTTCCGGAGTTCCCACCAGAAGTGGTTGTAGCAATGAATGATGAATGCGAGAAGTCGGCCACCGTTGGCGTTTCTGTCTCAATAGTTGGAGTCTTTGATGTTGACGTTGACTCATATTCTGTAGAAGTCTCAGTTTGCGAGTTGGTTGTAGATGTAGAAGGCGTTGTAGACATGGTTGACGACGTCATTCGTGAGTGACGTGACGTAGTTGTATCATTAACGACGGGAGGTGACGTCACTGCTGCGTCAGAAGGGCATCCCATTTGTAATCGCGATGGGTTGAAAGGGCAACTGAGATCGGCCCTTGTTACAGAAGACATGCTCAAGTCTACTTGACTTCTCGGGGCAAAACACATGTTCGACAATAAATGTCCTTTCAGATACGGCGATGTAAGAATCCAAGCTGTATGGCATTCGCATGTCAGATAATTCTTGTAGAAATTGAATGAAAAGGCAACTGCGAACGATTTGTCAGAAATACATTCGAATCTTTCGAATCTATTTGAGTTGACGTTGGCAGTTCTGATGTTTCTCCAGTTTGAAAACGCATCAGCTTCAATAACGTCAACCTTGTTCTCGTAAAACTGAAAAACGTTAACAGTGGATACATTATGAAACGCCATTTTCCCAATAACTGAGATGTTGCATGATTTCACGGTAATATCGCTGATATCAGTGATATCCGAGAACGAATCCATTTCGATTTTATCGAGTCTGGTATCACTTATTTCCAGAGACGACATGCCTCCGAGGCCGTAAAAGGCTCCATTCTCAACAACTGATATGTCACTGAACGATATCGACAGCACGTCTAGTTTGTCAATGTCACTAAATGCATTCTTACGAACAACGCCAATGTATGAAGACTGAATATCAAGTTCGGTCAGCTGTTTCAGATGACTGAACGCAAAGCTCGGCAGTGATTCCACTGTGATGTCCCTGACAACTAGTGTCTCGATATTGGACGGGAGAGTTGTCACGTGTTTAATGTCAGAACACGTAGCGAACTTAGCGAAGCACACGCATCCTGCGCAGGCTGTCGTTGTCATCACGAGTTGACTGAGGACGACCAGTGTTGTGAGCCAGCTGTGGTTCCCTCCCATCCTTGTTGTGTCTGAAACAGGTAATCAGCAGGTTCATTGATCAAATTACAAAACACCTGACAAATATTTATAAATGCGCAATATAAATCACCATGACCCAATTAATTTTTGAATTGCTTGCATAGGAATGCCACGAAATATTTCAACGCAATATAAATAAAAGCGACACAAATCTTTTCCATAATCATAAGAAGTTTCTACTAAAAGCAGAGTCCATTGTACGATTCCGACTATATAATAAGCATGCGTTTATTAATCACTATGGAATAGTGATGATACCAAATTTGTGCATAAATACCCAATGTAGTCTTTTCAGCTTGCCCCATGTCTTTAATTACTGATCGAATGCAGGCATCACGTATACATGGACTGCACTGCAGTGACTAACGTACATAATTGGTGCGTCTCGTTTAGTGTAATTTAGATGTGGCTATCGCTATTGTAAGCACATGCGACATGACGCACTTGGGGCAGCACACTGACAGAAGAAAATGAAAAGTCACCGGAAACATCATTGTGAGAAGAGTTATTTAAACCAAGTTCTACTCATTGGTGAATACCCAATGTGAATGATAACTGATGAATAAATAATCAATGGCTAAAACATATGGATCCCTATAGGTCTACAATATTGACACTTCATACAGACGACTTCAATAGTCTGCCATACAAACACGTCAAAAAGGACGCCTTCAGGGCTATTGACTGAACAGACACATCAAAGCGGTACTTTCAATGAGACCCAATCGAGGGAATAGACACTTGGAGCATGTATTTTAAATGCTAAATGCCGGACCCAATAAACGCCAAAGACATGTTACACCTCCCACTGACCGGAAATGGGGGGACAGTATTGACCGGAAGTGGGGAGGAATGTGCGAACTGGCACTGACCGGAAGTGGAGAGCAGTGTCCTAACTGGTACCTGGTATAACTCCGGGTTCACTCCTGTCCGTAAGACGTCTTCCTGTTACACGCGCCTTTTGAACTCAACTGAGACCTGAACCGAGCACGCACGTTTATATATTCTTACAAGCATAGTTAGGATATGACGAGACATGGGAATTCCCATATATGGCCTGTGATATTAATAACACTCAAACCGAAACGTCTTGCGCATAGGAAGTGGCGTGACTATTTATGAGGAAATAGCCATTGTGAAGTAAGTGACGATGCTTAAACCTCAAGTGGGAATTATGTAGCCGATCGCGTGCCCCAAAAATAGCTCTCTGGTTAAACCTCAGTCTGTCCATAACAATATGTGTTATTTACCACGAAATGTCTGACGTTTTAACCGTTACCACAAAAAACATGACTGTTTGCGACATGTAGTGTATCCCCGAGGAACCGATCATTCAATATTCGCTGTTTCATACAACTCGATTTCTGACATTAATTTTCTTTAATTGAAAGGAGAATGGATTTAGTAAGAACATCCGAGTTGTCCTTTGTACGACCCAGTTTACGGCACCTGTGTTTAATAAGGAGTTATTTATGGCTTAATACCAAACTTTGTTAACATCATAGCTCAGTTCATATCATAGACCATTCAACTGTATGTAACGGTTTCTAATGCTCCAAGCCGTCTTGTGGTAAGAAGTTGGTCATCATGAAATGCAATTCTTGAATAGCTCCAAGAAAAGCACGAAAACAAACCGTATTAAAACGTTATATGAGTGAGTGAGTTTGGTTTCACGCCGCATTTAACAGTATTCCCGTTATGTCACAGTGTGTCAGCGTTATGTTGGAGGAAAGCCTGAAGTGATGCATGTCTCAGAGGTTTACAACTTTGGTGAAACCCACGAACATGGGTACCGGGATTCGAGCCCACAATCATAGGCGTCTGGTGTACTCAAGGGACGCAACTCTGCACAGCAAATTGTGGCGCCATAGACGACTGGGCCACCCTCTGCCCACCAAAAGGTTAAATGAAACTTATTACTGAACCAAACACGGGCGGAGTAACTTAGGTAACTTCAATATGTGAACCTCTTTTATGTGTCTGTATAACTATTTTGAAGTGTATTATTCATAAAGATTATAATTTGTTTCAAGATCAGTTAGTGGCATCATATTTCAAATATGAAACAGTTCACACACTAACCGATATGGTTTGACATGTTGATGAGAAAAGCTTAAAATGTCCCAGTCAGCAATATTCCAGCTACATCAGGGCGACCTGTACATAATCGGGTCTGGACCAGGCACACCAGTGATTGATATTATGAGCAACGTGCCGCGTCGTCGGGGTACGATGACACACAATTAACTAAGTCACTGAGCTGACAACCAAATCCATTTAGTCGTCTCTTACAACAAGCATGGAAATACAGGTTGCTATAACTTCGTGTTTCCTTAATAGTGACGAAGTGACGTTACCCCAACTCAGCACAGAACTTTTCTCGTTGTAGCATCGCGTATTTGAATCGGATTAAAAAAGAAACTTTGGTAGCGAATCGGTCAAGGGAATAACTTTTTTTAATGAAATGGACGTACAAAATACACTGGATAAGCGATTATGGGGTGTTCAATATTACAAGGTTTCAGTCATAGTTCATATATTTCTCAAAGGTAATAATAACTGTGATCATATTAATAATTAAGAACTGAAAATAACACTTATGATGATAGGGACTATCTTGTTTTGGATCTGTTGTGTACACAAAAAGTACCTAATAAGACGAACAAGATTAGTTTGCTGTTTTAATGCCTATTGGGGATATTCAAATATTCCTTTCCTTTCAAACTTGGTATATTTGTCTAACGTAGATAAAAATAACAATTTTTATCATAACTTGCGTAAGAAACACGAACATTGCAAGGCATAGTCCGAATTTGAAATGATCAATTTGTATATATTCTAACTTTAAGACATACGACCACATTAGAAAGACAATTATACGCCAGAGCAATTTAATCTTAAAACCAACATAATCACAATACTTTTGCCTTTAAGTGTAAAACACGTTACAATGGTTACTGTTCTTCTTGAAGCCAAAGGACTGCTGTATTCATGATACCTTATATACTTAATAATATCAGAAAGTAAGAAGTAAAACATATATACAAGATTAACTATGATTACCTTGCGAGCCCTTGCCTGACTGTTAATGCTGTCTTGAAACCACTGTCTCAGTGTATGCGCTTCAATGATACGACACAGGAATGTCCCGTCTCGTACAACAGATGCGGAAACAGGACGTTCCCACAAACTAGGGTCTCGGTAAAAGCCCCGGATGATAGAGTTTGTCCCTTATCTAGATCTGTGGCGTCCCTAGACGATGTGGACACCCATTCCTACATTTCTAGATACAGTGGATGTCTTCAACGACAGACGCCCTGAGGAACAACCATTTAATTTTTTCTGGCGGGGAGGTGATGTTTGTTGAGGCACTACTTTTATTTTCTGTGAAAGGAGCTGAACGACTTATTTCTTGACAACACATTTTTCAGCACGTCCAACATGTCCAGCGTATGCACAGTTTATATGTTTCCACTGTTTAGCTGGAACAAGATAACCCTCGCCCCCTCAACACACACACACACACACACACACTCGTAATCCTTTAGCTTGGTGGTTATGGTCTAGTGTTAATAAATCCTCAAATCATCAGTTGTTTTTTCTTTGTCGATGCGCCGTAATGCAATTATTCTGTCCATTTATTTAGTTTTGGAATCACGTGTGTTTATTAACGTCTATACGTTAAAAAAACTATTTTGACTATTACGAGTCGGCTCCTCGGTGGCCGATGCGTTACGCTAGCGTAGGCGGCGTTTTCGTCAGTTCAGCACCGTGACACGGGGTCGCACATTTTGGGAAGTTCTTTTCATTCGGTTCAAAAACACACCTATGTCCAAAATAATTTGTAAACAAAGTTTTGAGGGCTTGAATGACCTTTTTAACTTTAGAAAGAATAATGGTCAAGTCAAACAATAACTTGTCTAAATGTTGCACAGTGAGATCATTCAACTGATATTGTTTGCACTATTAATTCCGACTGCAGTCTATGCTATCCCGAGGCAAGAGAAGAGTCAGAAGGACACTATGCCAAATGAATACATATATATTCGTAGGATACTGATTCTATTGAACATTAAATACTGTTATTTGCGCATGTCTTCTGAGCATCTGAAAATAAAAATGGCGAATCTTGAAGAACGTCCGAGAGTTAGATATAACTGCCATCCTTGACACTCACACAAAAGAAACAAACATAGGACTTTGAAAATATCCTGTTTGAACCTTTGTTTCTTTGTAATATGATCAGGATTTCTTGTGATATCTTGCATTGCATCACACACTTTGGGCACACAACTTTGAAGATAAACGATAGCGAATTTACATTACAACCTCTTTAAAAGGATTCCGACAGGATTCCGGATAAGGCTATATGTACGTCCCCAGCAACCTATGCTGCGGACTCATAATTATAGTCTTAAATCGAAAAAAGAATTGTCCCATAACATTTTTTGTGGTTCAGACGTCGGCCACAAAAATGTCCTTGTTGCAAGGTGTTATTTTTAGAAATACATTAATAGTCCAGTAGAAATTGCATTGGACCCGGACATTTCTGATAACAGGCCACATTTGTGTTTAAACTCACCAGCAGGGTGTTATATGTCACCATAAAAAAAACAAAGAAAATCAAGGTTGGGGAAATATCTTTTATTTGGATGGTTCTGGGGATTGGGTCTGTTGTCTTTTCACACAAATATCAGCAGGAATGCATTTGTCATGGTTACATAGACCATGTAAAAATATTGTTTGTGGTCTTCATTCTAGTCTGTATTGTAATTTCTTAGGAATCCTACTTGGATCGGATACAAAATATTTGTATTTATTTATCGCATAGTCAATGCCGGCCATCTTGAATTCAAGATGGCCGCCTTCAATTGACTCTACTACATATAATGCTGTTATGAAACTCAAAAGTTTATGATTGCAGTTATTAACTTATGCATTTCATTAACTTACTCGTAACATTGCACAAGTTCAATAAATAATAGTTCTTAATACTTAACATTATCATCAATTTCTTGTAATCTTTGAGAGTGTTTTTGTTTTATACTTTACTTGGATTCAGTTGCTTGAATAATGCTACTGGCAGTCTCATGTAACTCAAAAATAATTTTTGGACTTGCATGAGTTGAAAATAACCGCAAAAGGCATTGCTCATTTAACCCAAAATTTAGATTGTTATAACATCACATATGTTTTATATTAAAAGGTGATGATAACAAATAAAATAACTGACAATGTGGCTATTTTTTTTACATTTCCAAAAAAATAGAGTCAGCGGGTCTGTAATCAGAAAAATATAAAACGCCTGGCCTTACATTAGTACATTTTAAAGTACAACTCTTGGGGAGCTAATTCATAATATGCCCACTGCATATCCTGTCAATGTCCCCAAATCATTCCACATACATAACTAACCACTTTTTCATAGCACCCAGTACTTCTTCAGCCATCAATACACACATATTGCTATAAGTCACCAACAATTGAAGACAATCAGAGAAATATATTGCAATGTTAAATTTAGGAAGAGGCAAAGCGTTCCTTAGTCCACATTAATCTTCATCAATAACCTCGTCACAAAACACAGGTGTTGGGTTTAAGCAGTAACCCTTGCACTTGCAATGAAAGCCTAGGGCCCCTTTTTTGGAGACCCTCAAAAACTGATTTCCCCAAGCTTGATTTTTCTTGGGTTTTGTATACACAACCAGGACACACTGAAGATTGACTTTGTGCAATAATTGGGTTGTTATCACAAATGTCCGGGTTAATTAATTATGACGTCAATTTCTACTGGACTATAACACTATATTGGCGCAACTGTAGCTTAAATATATCTAGTCTCAATGCAAAATCCCAGCCTCCTCACCGGTCGGTCCCTTAGAAGCCTCTACATCGAACTGGATCGGTGGTCAGACTCGGACACTTGGTTCATTGCGCGTGGCATTGTAGGGCGTCGATTATTGCTGAGTGAGGCGTTAAACAAAAACACACAAGCGCGTACAAGCACATTCTGTCATTAGCACTAGCGAGCGATGAGTAGTCTGTCGACCCATCACAGCGAGCAGTTCACGATGACTGGCTAAGATTATTACATGACCATGCAGCAATCTCAACAAGCTGTCGTCGTCATGGCAGATGGCACTTTTTAATAGACATACAGCTATGTTAAACATAAAACAGTATTTTAGGCCACAAGCTTGGGTATGTTGCTAGCAACGTTGTTAGATACATTTTGAAATGCACTCGTAATAAAAACGGTTTAACGGGGACTTGTTATAGAATGTGTATTTATTAACTCGCTTATATGGGTACTAAACATAGATTCGAACCTATAGCAGAAGCGTTGTCAATTATTTCCCAGTAAACATCAGGCGTGATTCTCGTGGAAAAGCAAACATTCCTGAAAAACACGTTTGAAATGTTGTTCGTTCACTGATGACAGTGAGCACAACACGTCATTTCCTATAGAAATCTCCATCATCACATGTGATTCATGTACTTTGGTTGTGGATTTGCCACAATGTGATGACAAGGCATTTAGCTTCCTGTAGAGTCAAGGGGACATTGCTTGGCGTGGCGTGGCGAAGCGTGGAGTAGCGAGGCATGGCATATTTCCGACTGATTTCACTCTAAGCAGATGAAATTAGGGACGGAAACATGTGAGTCCTGTATTCTCACATATGAAACAACCAACGATATGTGGTGGCACGTGGTCCCGTGCATGCTGTGGTCACTAATCGAATGAGCTGTATATTTTCACCATGCAGCTGCTGAACTGGTGCCTTTTCTGTTTAGGAATTTAACATTTTCATTTGTTGCGCTTCAAACTAAGAGTGAGATGGAGGGGAAGTTGGTATGGAGGAGGTAAGACATGGGGTATTGAGTGGAAGTAGGCATTATGGTGGGGAAGTAGGGAGGATGAAGGGGAAGTAGGAAGGATGAAGGGAAGTCAGGGGGTGGAGTGGAAGTAGTGAGTATGGAGGAAGTAGGGAGGATGGAGGGAAGGCATAGCGGATGGAGTGGAAGAATGGAAGAAAGAGGGGAAGTAAAGAGGATGGAGGGAGAGTAGGTATGATTAAGAGAAGATACAGGGATGGAGTGGAAGTGGGGTTGATGGAGGGGTAGTAGGGATTATGGAGGGTAGACATGGGGGATGGAGTAGAAGTAGGGAAGATGAAGAGAAGGTATGCAGGATTAACTGGAAGTAGGGATGATGGAGGTAAGAAGAGATGATGGAGTGAAGGCATGGGGATGGAGTGGAAGTAGGTATGATGGAAGGAAGGCATGATGGATGGGGGTGGAAGTAGGCATGATGGAGGTAAGAAGAGATGATGGAGTGAAGGGATGGAGTGGAAGTAGGTATGACGGAAGGAAGGCATGATGGATGGGGGTGGAAGTAGGCATGATGGAGGTAAGAAGAGATGATGGAGTGAAGGCATGGGGGTTGGAGTGGAAGTAGGCATGATGGAGGGAAGGCATGGGGATGGGGTGGAAGTAGGCATGATGGAGGTAAAAAGAGATGACGGAGTGAAGGCATGGGGGTTGGAGTGGAAGTAGGCATGATGGAGGGAAGGCATGGGGGATAGGGTGGAAGTAGGCATGATGGAGGTAAGAAGAGATGATGGAGTGAAGGCATGGGGGATGGAGTGGAAGTAGGTATGATGGAAGGAAGGCATGGGGGATGGGGTGGAAGTAGGCATGATGGAGGTAAGAAGCGATGATGGAGTGAAGGCATGGGGGATGGAGTGGAAGTAGGTATGATGGAGGGAAGGCATGGGGGATAGGGTGGAAGTAGGCATGATGGAGGTAAGAAGAGATGATGGAGTGAAGGCATTGGGGATGGGGTGGAAGTAGGCATGATAGAGGGAAGGCATGGGGGATGGGGTGGAAGTAGGCATGATGGAGGTAAGAAGAAATGATGGAGTGAAGGCATTGGGGATGGAGTGGAAGTATGTATGATGGAAGGAAGGCATGGGGGATGGGGTGGAAGTAGGCATGATGGAGGTAAGAAGAGATGATGGAGTGAAGGCATGGGGGATGGAGTGGAAGTAGGTATGATGGTGGGGAAGTAGGGAGGATGAAGGGGAAGTAGGGAGGATGAAGGGAAGTCAGGGGGTGGAGTGGAAGTAGTGAGTATGGAGGGAAGGCATAGCGGATGGAGTGGAAGAAAGAGGGGAAGTAAAGAGGATGGAGGGAGAGTAGGTATGATTAAGAGAAGAAATAGGGATGGAGTGGAAGTGGGGTTGATGGAGGGGTAGTAGGGATAATGGAGGGTAGACATGGGGGATGGAGTAGAAGTAGGGAAGATGAAGAGAAGGAATGCAGGATTAACTGGAAGTAGGGATGATGGAGGTAAGAAGAGATGATGGAGTGAAGGCATGGGGGATGGAGTGGAAGTAGGCATGATGGAAGGAAGGCATGATGGACGGGGGTGGAAGTAGGCATGATGGAGGTAAGAGATGATTGAGTGAAGGCATGGGGGATGGGGTGGAAGTAGGTATGATGGAAGGAAGGCATGATGGATGGGGGTGGAAGTAGGCATGATGGAGGTAAGAAGAGATGATGGAGTGAAGGCATGGGGGATGGAGTGGAAGTAGGTATGACGGAAGGAAGGCATGATGGATGGGGGTGGAAGTAGGCATGATGGAGGTAAGAAGAGATGATGGAGTGAAGGCATGGGGGATGGAGTGGAAGTAGGCATGATGGAGGTAAGAAGAGATGATGGAGTGAAGGCATGGGGGATGGAGTGGAAGTAGGTATGATGGAAGGAAGGCATGATGGATGGGGTGGAAGTAGGCATGATGGAGGTAAGAAGTAATGATGGAGTGAAGGCATGGGGGATGGAGTGGAAGTAGGTATGATGGAAGGAAGGCATGATGGATGGGGTGGAAGTAGGCATGATGGAGGTAAGAAGCGATGATGGAGTGAAGGCATGGGGGATGGGGTGGAAGTAGGCATGATGGAGGTAAGAAGAGATGATTGAGTGAAGGCATGGGGGATGGGGTGGAAGTAGGCATGATGGAGGTAAGAAGCGATGATGGAGTGAAGGCATGGGGGATGGAGTGGAAGTAGGTATGATGGAAGGAAGGCATGATGGATGGGGTGGAAGTAGGCATGATGGAGGTAAGAAGCGATGATGGAGTGAAGGCATGGGGGATGGGGTGGAAGTAGGCATGATGGAGGTAAGAAGAGATGATTGAGTGAAGGCATGGGGGATGGAGTGGAAGTAGGTATGATGGAAGGAAGGCATGATGGATGGGGGTGGAAGTAGGCATGATGGAGGTAAGAAGCGATGATGGAGTGAAGGCATGGGGGATGGAGTGGAAGTAGGCATGATGGAGGGAAGGCATGGGGGATAGGGTGGAAGTAGGCATGATGGAGGTAAGAAGAGATGATGGAGTGAAGGCATTGGGGATGGAGTGGAAGTAGGCATGATAGAGGAACGCATGGGGGATGGGGTTGAAGTAGGCATGATGGAGGTAAGAAGAGATGATGGAGTGAAGGCATTGGGGATGGAGTGGAAGTAGGCATGATGGAAGGAAGGCATGGGGGATGGGGTGGAAGTAGGCATGATGGAGGTAAAATGAGATGATGGAGTGAAGGCATTGGGGATGGAGTGGAAGTAGGTATGATGGAGGGAAGCCATGATGGATGGGGGTGGAAGTAGGCATGATGGAGGTAAGAGATGATGGAGTGAAGGCATGGGGGATGGAGTGGAAGTAGGCATGATGGAGGGAAGGCGTGGGGCATGGGGTGGAAGTAGGCATGATGGAGGTAAGAAGAGATGATGGAGTGAAGGCATGGGGGATGGGGTGGAAGTAGGCATGATGGAGGTAAGAAGAGATGATGGAGTGAAGGCATGGGGGATGGAGTCGAAGTAGGCATGATGGAGGTAAGAAGAGATGATGGAGTGAAGGCATTGGGGATGGAGTGGAAGTAGGTATGATGGAGGGAAGCCATGATGGATGGGGGTGGAAGTAGGCATGATGGAGGTAAGAAGAGATGATGGAGTGAAGGCATGGGGGATGGAGTGGAAGTAGGCATGATGGAGGGAAGGCATGGGGGATGGGGTGGAAGTAGGCATGATGGAGGTAAGAAGAGATGATGGAGTGAAGGCATGGGGGATGGAGTGGAAGTAGGCATGATGGAGGTAAGAAGAGATGATGGAGTGAAGGCATGGGGGATGGAGTGGAAGTAGGCATGATGGAGGGAAGGCATGGGGGATGGGGTGGAAGTAGGCATGATGGAGGTAAGAAGAGATGATGGAGTGAAGGCATGGGGGATGGAGTGGAAGTAGGCATGATGGAGGTAAGAAGAGATGATGGAGTGAAGGCATGGGGGATGGAGTGGAAGTAGGCATGATGGAGGGAAGGTATAAGGGATGGAGGGGATGTAGCGATGATGGAGGGGAAGTAGGGATGATGGAGGGGAAGTAGGGTTGATGGAGGGAAGGTATGAGGAATGGAGGGGGGGAGGGGGTAGGGATGTTGGAGGGAAGGGCATGGAAGAATGAGTTGGAGTAGGATAGATAACGGTGAAGTGGGAAGGGAAGTGATGTGGGATGGTGGAGAAGTAGGGATGTTGGCGGTAAGGTATGAAGGATGGAGGGGAAGTAGGGATGATGGTGGAGAAGGAGGGATGTTGGAGGGAGGCATGTGGGATGGAGGGGAAGTAGGTATGATGGTGGAGAAGTAGGGATGTTGGAGTTATGGTACGAGGGATGGAGGAGAAGTAGGGATGTTGGAGGGGAAGTAGGGATGATGGCATTGATGATGGAGTGGAAGTAGATAAGAGGAAGGTGGAAGTAGGGATGATGTAGGGAGGCATGATGGATGTAGTGGAAGTAGGGATGATGGAGGGAAGGCACAGGGGGTGGAGGGTAAGTAGGAAATATGAAGGTGAAGTAGGGATGATGGAGAGAAGGCATTGAAGATGGAGTGGAAGTAGGTGAGATGAAGGTGAAGTAGGGATGATGGAGAGAAGGCATTGAAGAAAGAGTGTAAGTAGGAAAGATGAAGGTGAAGTAGGGATGATGGAGAGAAGGCATTGAAGATGGAGTGGAAGTAGGACAGATGAAGGTGAAGTAGGGATGATGGAGAGAAGGCATTGAAGATGGAGTGGAAGTAGGTGAGATGAAGGTGAAGTAGGGATGATGGAGAGAAGGCATTGAAGAAAGAGTGTAAGTAGGAAAGATGAAGGTGAAGTAGGGATGATGGAGAGAAGGCATTGAAGATGGAGTGGAAGTAGGACAGATGAAGGTGAAGTAGGGATGATGGAGAGAAGGCATTGAAGATGGAGTGGAAGTAGGTAAGATGAAGGTGAAGTAGGGATGATGGAGAGAAGGCATTGAAGATGGAGTGGAAGTAGGAAAGATGAAGGTGAAGTAGGGTTGATGGAGAGAAGGCATGGGGGATGGGGTGGAAGTAGGACAGATGAAGGTGAAGTAGGGATGATGGAGAGAAGTTATGAGGGATGGAGGGGAAGTAGGGATGTTGGAGGGAAGGCATTGAGGATGGAGGGGAAGTAGGGATGTTGGAGGGAAGGCATTGAAGATTGAGTCGAAGTAGGAAAGATGAAGGTGAATGGAGGGGAAGTAGGGATTTAATTGGGTTCGATGATATGTATCAACTAAGTCAGCGAGCCTGACCACCCGATCCCGTTAGTCGCCTTTTACGACAAGCATAGTCGCCTTTTACAGCAAGCATTGGTTGCTGAAGACCTATTCTACCCCGGATCTTCACGGGTGTCGAAAGGAATGGGAAATGGAGGGAAAATCTGGAGGATGAGAGGGAGTAGGGATGATGAAGGGTGGCACTGGGGATGGAGTGGAAGAAGCGAGGATGGATGGAGGCATGGGGATGGAGTGGAAGTAGGGAGAATGCGAGTGGAGGAAGGGTGAAGAAGTAGACACGTGGGAGGGATGATGCAGGGGAAGTAGACAAGGGAGGGAGGATGGAGGGGAAGTAGAGGCGTAGGAGGGAGAATGAAGGGAAAGTAGGAATGATGAAGGGGATGTAGAGACAATGGATTGTAAGTGAGAGGGGATTAGTGAGGATGGGGTGGGAGAGGATTGAAGGGTAGTAGGGAGTTTGGGTGGATGGAATGTAGAAATGTGGGAGGCAGGATGGAGGGTAAGTAGACACTTGGGGGGGGGGGGGGGGGGGGTTGAGTGGAAGTAGAGAAGAGAGGGTAGGATGGAAGGGAAGGAGAGTCGTGGGAGAGAGGATGGAAGGGAAGTAAAGTCGAGGGAGGGATGATGGAGTGGAAGTAGAGACGTTGGAGGGACGGTATAGAATGAAGGCAAAGTAGAGAAGAGAGGGTAGGATGGGAAGAGAAGTAGGGATTGGGGATGGAGGGGAAGTAGATACGGGGGAGGGAAGATGGAGGGTAAGTAGAGACGTAGGAGGGGGGGAGGCGGGAAGTAGAGACGAGGGAGGGAAGATGGAGGGGAAATAGGGACGTGGGAGGGAAGATGGAGGGGAAGTAGAGACGTGGGAGGAAAGATGGTGGGGGAGTAGGGACGTGGGAGGGATGATGGAGGGGAAGTAGGGACGTTGGAGGGAAGATGGAAGGGAAGTAGGGACGTGGGAGGGATGATGGAGGGGAAGTAGGGACGTGGGAGGGATGATGGAGGGGAAGTAGGGATGTGGGAGGGATGATGGAGGGGAAGTAGGGACGAGGGAGGGATGATGGAGGGGAAGTAGATACGAGGGAGGGAAGATGGAGGGGAAGTAGAGACGTGGGAGGGAAGATGGAGGGGAAGTAGGGTCGTGGGAGGGATGATGGAGGGTAAGTAGGGACGTGGGAGGTATGATGGAGGGGAAGAAGAGACGTGGGACGGATGATGGAGGGGAAGTAGAGACGTGGGACGGATGATGGAGGGGAAGTAGAGACGTGGGACGGATGATGGAGGGGAAGTAGAGACGTGGGACGGATGATGGAGGGGAAGTAGAGACGTGGGACGGATGATGGAGGGGAAGTAGAGACGTGGGACGGATGATGGAGGGGAAGTAGGGACGTGGGACGGATGATGGAGGGGAAGTAGGGACGTGGGACGGATGATGGAGGGGAAGTAGAGACGTGGGAGGGAGATGGAGGTGAAGTAGAGACGAGGGAGGGAAGATGGAGGGGAAGTAGGGACGTAGGAGGGGGATGGAGAGGAAGTAGATGAGAGGGAGAGAGAATAGTGAGGAAGTAGAGAGGAGGGAAAGAAAGATGGAGGGGAAGTAGAGACGTGGGATGGGGGATGGAGTGGAAGTAGATACGAGGGAGGGAAGATGGAGCGTAAGTAGGGACGTAGGAGGGGGATGGAGGTGAAGTAGAGACGTGGGAGGGAAGATGGAGTGGAAGTAGAGACGAGAGAGGGAAGATGGAGGGTAAGTAGGCACGTAGGAGGGGAATGGAGATGAAGTAGAGACGTAGGAGGGGGATGGAGGTGAAGTAGAGACGAGGGAGGGAAGATGGAGGGGAAGTAGACGCGAGGGAGAGAGGGTGGAGAGGAAGTAGATAAGAGGGAGAGAGAATAGAGAGGATGTAGAGACGAGGGAAGATGGAGGGGAAGTAAAGACGTGGGAGGGATGATGGAGGGGAAGTAGAGACGTGAGAGCGGGGATGGAAGGGAAGAAGAGAAGAGGCATGGGGATAGAGGGTAAGTAGAGACGAGGGAGGGATGATGAAGGGTAAGTAGAGACCTGGGAGCGAGGATGGAGGGGAAGTAGAGACGTGGGAAGGATGATATAGAAGTAGAGACGTTTGAGGGATGATGGAGGGGAATAAGAGACTTGGGACGCCGATGGAGGGGAAGAAGAGAAGTCGGAGGGAGGAGGGAGTGGAAGTTGAGACGTGGGAAAGGGGATGGAGGGTAAGTAGAGACTTGGGAAGGATGATATAGGGGAAGTAGAGACGTGGGAGGGATGATAGGGTGGGAGGGGGAGTAGAGACTTGGGAGGTAGGGGTGGAGGTGAAGTAGAGGAAAGGGAGGGAAGATGGAGGGTATATAGAGATGTGGGAGGGATGATGGAGGGGAAGTAGAGACCTGGGAGCGAGGATGGAGGGGAAGTAGAGACGTGTGAGGGCTGATGGAGGGAAGTAGACAAGAGGGAGAGAGGATGGAGAGGAAGTAGGGACGAGGGAGGGAAGATGGAGGGGAAGTAGATACGTTGGACGGATGATGGAGGGGAAGTAGAGACGTGGGAGGGAAGATGGAGGGTAAGTAGGGACTTGGGAAGGATGATGGAGGTGAACTAAAGACATAGGAGGGAGGGAGAGTAGAGAGGTGGGAGGAGGGAGGGGAAGTAGAGACGTGGGAAGTGGGGTGAAAGGGGAGTAGAGACGTGGGAGGGGGGATTCAGCGGAGGTATAAACGAGGGAACGAGGATGGAGAGGAGGTAGAGAAGAGACTGTAGGATGGTAGGGAAGTAGAGACGTGGGAGGAAGGATGGACGGTAAGTAGAGACGTGGGAGGGTGGATGAAGGGTAAGCATAGACGTGGGAACGAGGATGGAGTGGAAGAAGAGACGTGGGAAGGATGATATAGGATATAGGGGAAGTAGAAAGGTGGGAGGGAGAATGGAGGGGAAGTAGAGACGTGGGACGGGGTGGGGGGTGGGAGGGGGAAATAAAGACGTGGGAGGAAGGATGGAGGGTAAGTAGAGACGTGGGAGGGGGGGGGGGGGGGTGGAGGGTAAGCATAGACGTGGGAGCGAGGATGGAGTGGAAGTATAGACGTGGGAAGGATGATATAGGGGAATTAGAGACGTTTAAGGGATGATGGAGGGGAAGTAGAGACGTAGGACTGGGATGGAAGCGAAGTAGAGACGAGGAGGGAAGGTTGAGGGAAAGTAGAGACGAGGGAAGGACGATGGAGGGTAAGTAAAGAAGTGGGAGGGAGGAGGGAGTGGAATTAGAGACGTGGGAAAGGGGACGGATGGGAAGTGTACAAGGAAGGGAGGATTGAGGGGAAATAGAGACGTGGGAAAGGGGACGGATGGGAAGTGTACAAGGAAGGGAGGATTGAGGGGAAGTAGAGATGCGGGAGGGGGTCGGAGGGTAAGTAGAGAACTGGGAAGGATGATATAGGGGAAGTAGAAACGTGGGAGGGATGATGGGGGGAGGGGAAGTAGAGACGTGGGAGGTGGGGGTGGAGGTGAAGTAAAGACGAGGGAGGGAAGGACGAGGGTAAGTCGAGATGTTGGAGGGAAGATGGAGGGGAAGTAGAGACGTGGGAGGGAGGATGGAGGGGAAGTAGAGAAGAGGGACAGAGCATGGAGAGGAAGTAGAGACGAGGGAGGGAAGATGGCGGGGAAGTAGAGAAGTGGGAGGGAGGATCGAGTGGAAGTAGAGACGTGGGAAAGGGGATGGAGGGGAAGTGTACAGAGAAGGAAGGATTGAGGGGAAGTAGAGACTTAGGAAGGACGATATAGGAGAAGTAGAGACGTGGGAGGGGGGAGGGGGGGGGGGGGGGGGGGAGTAGAAACTAGGGAGCGTGGATGGAGAGGAAGTAAAGAAGAGACGGTAGGATGGTAGGGAAGTAAAGGCGTAGGAGTGGGGAATGGTGGATAAATAGAGACGTGGGAAGGGGGATGGTAGGTAAGTAGATACGTGGGAAGGATGATAGAGGGGGAGTAGAGGCGTGGGAGGGATGATGGAGAGGAAGAGGAGACGAGTTAGGGAAGATGGTTGGTAAATAGTGATGTGGGAGTGAGGATGGAGGGGGATTAGAAACGTGGGAACGACGATTGAGGGTAAGTAGAATCGAGGGAGAGAGGATTGAGAGGAAGTAGAGAAGAGACGGTAGGATGGTAGGGAAGTAGAGAGGTAGGAGTAGGGAATGGAGGATAAATAGAGACGTGGGAGGGGGATGAAGGGGGAATAGAGATTTGGGAGGGTAGATGGAGGGGAAGTAGAGACCAGGGACGGACAATTGAGGGGAAGTAGAATCGAGGGAGAGAGGATGGAGACGAAGTAGAGAAGAGACGGAGGGATGGTAGGGAAGTAGAGACGAGGGAGGGAAGATGGAGGGGAAGTGGAGATGTGGGAGAGAGGATAGAGGGTAGGTAAACAAGAGGGAGAGAGGATGGAGAGGAGGTAGAGACGTGGGGAGGGAGGGGAAGTAGAGACGTGGGAGTAGAAACGTGGGAAGCACGATTGAGGGGAGCAGAATCGAGGGAGAGGGGATGAAGAGGAAGTACAGAAGAAACGGTAGGATGGTAGGGAAGTAGAGACGTAGGCATGGGTAATGGAGGGTAAATAGAGACGTGGGAGGGGGGGGGGGGATGGGGAATAAAGACGTGGGAGGAGGGATGGAGGGTAAGTGGAGACGTGGGAGGGGGGATGAAAGGGGAACAGTGATGTGGGAGGGAAGATGAAGGGGAAGTAGAGACGTGGGAGGGAAGATGGAGGGGAAGTGGAGATGTGGGAAAGAGGATAGAGGGAAAGTAGACAAGAGGGAGAGAGGATGGAGAGGAAGTAGAGGCAAGAGGGAGGGAAGATGGAGGGGAAGTGGCGATGTGGGAAAGAGGATAGAGGGTAAGTAGACAAGACCGAGAGAGGATGGAGAGGAAGTAGAGACGTGGAGAGGGAGGGGAAGTAGAGACGTGGGAGGGAAGATGGAGGGGAAGTAGAGATGTGGAAGGGTGATGGAGGTGAACTGAAGACATGGAAGGGAGGAGCGAGGGGAAGTTGAGACGTGGGAGGATGGAGGGTAAGTAGAGTCGTGGGAGGGAGGATTCGGGTGAAGTAGAAACAAGGGAACGAGGATGGAGAGGAAGTAGAGAAGAGAGGGTAGGATGGTAGGCAAGAAGAGACATGGGAGCCAGGCTGGAGGGGAAGTAGAGACGTGGGAAGGATTATATGGGGGGAAGTAGAGACCTTTGGGGAATGATGGACGGGAAGTAGAGACGTGGGAAGGTGGATGAAGGGGAGTAGAGACGTGGGAGGGAGAATTCAGGTGAATCTAGGTGATTCAAGTAGAATTCTGGTGAATCCAAGTAGAAACGAGGGAACGAGGATGGAGAAGCAGTAGAGAAGAGACGGTCGGATGGTAGGGAAGCAGAGACGTGGGAGGGGGATGGAGGGTAAGTTGAGACATGGGAGAAGGATGGAGGGGAAGCAGAGACTTGGGAAGGATGATATGGGGGAAGTAGAGACGTTTGAGGGATGGTGGAGGGGAAGTAGAGACATGGGGAGGATGATGGAGGGTAAGTAGAGAAGTGGGAGGGAGGATCGAGTGGAAGTAGAGACGTGGGAAAGGGGATGGAGGGGAAGTGTACAGGGAAGGAAGGATTGAGGGGAAGTAGAGACTTAGGAAGGACGATATAGGAGAAGTAGAGACGTGGGAGGGAGGGTTGGGGGGGAAGTAGAAACTAGGGAGCGTGGATGGAGAGGAAGTAGAGAAGAGACGGTAGGATGGTAGGGAAGTAGAGGCGTAGGAGTGGGAATGGAGGATAAATAGAGACGTGGGAAGGGGGATGGTGGGTAAGTAGATACGTGGGAAGGATGATAGAGGGGGAGTAGAGGCGTGGGAGGGATGATGGAGAGGAAGTAGAGACGAGGGAGGGTAGCTAGGGTAGGTGGGGATGTGGAAGTTAGGATGGAGGGAAGTAGAGATGTGGGAAGAACGATTGAGGGGAAGTAGAATCGAGGGAGAGAGGATGGAGAGGAAGTACAGAAGAGAAGGTAGGATGGTAGGGTAGTAGAGACGTAGGAGTTGGGAATGGAGGGTAAGTAGAGACGTGGGAGGGGGGATGAAGGGGGGAATAGAGATGTGGGAGGGAAGATGGAGGGGAAGTAGAGACGTGGGAGAGAGGATGGAGAGGAAGTAAAGACAAGGGAGGGAAGATGAAGGGGGAATAAAGACGTGGGAGGTGGGATGGAGGGCAAGTAGAGACAGGGGAGGGGGGATGAAGGGGGAATAGAGATGCGGGAGGGAAGATGGAGGGGAAGTTGAGACGTGGGAGGATAGAGGGGAAGTAGAGACGTGGGAAGGGGGATGAAGGGGAGTAGACACTTCGGAGGGAGGATTCAGGTGAAGTAGAAACGAGGGAATGAGGATGGAGAGGAAGTAGAGAAGAGACGGTCGGATGGTAGGGAAGTAGAGACGAGGGAGGGAAGATGGAGGGAAAATGGAGGGAAAGAAGAGACATGGGAGCAAGGATTGGAGGGGAAGTTAATACGTGGGAAGGATTATATAGGGGAAGTAGAGACGTTTGGGGAATGATGGAGGGGAAGTTGTGACGTGGGACGGGGATGGAGGAGAAGTAGAGACGTGGGAAGGTGAATGAAGGGGAGTAAAGAGGTGGGAGGGAGGATTAAGGTGAAGTAGAAAGGAGGGAACGAGGATGGAGAGGAAGTAGAGAAGAGACGGTCGGATGGTAGGGAAGTAGAGATGTGGGAGGGGGATGGAGGGTAAGTAGAGACATGGGAGAAGGATGGAGGGGAAGCAGAGACTTGGGAAGGATGGTATGGGGGAAGTAGAGACGTTTGAGGGATGATGGGGGGAAAGTAGAGACGTTTGAGGGATGGTGGAGGGGAAGTAGAGACGTGGAACGGGGTTTGAGGGGAAGTAGAAACTTAGAAAGGACGATATAGGGGGGTGGAGACGTGGGAGGGATGATGGTCTGGAAGTAGAAACGTGGGAAGGGGGATGGAGGGTAAGTAGAGACGAGGGAGGGAAGATGGAGGGTAAGTAGGGACGTGGGAGTGGGGACGGGGTGAAATAGAGACGAGGGAGGGAAGATGGAGGGTAAGTAGAGACGTGGGAGGGAGGATGGAGGGGAAGTAGAGACGAGGGAGGGAAGATGGAGGGTAAGTAGGGACGTGGGAGTGGGGACGGGGGTGAAGTAGAGACGTAGGAAGGTGGATGGGGGGTAAGTAGAGGCGTGAGACTGAGGATGGTGGGTAGGTAGACAAGAGGGAGAGAGGATGGAGAGGAAGTAGAAACGTGGGAGGAATGGTGGAGGGGAAGTAGAGATGTGGGAGAATGGGGATGGGGGTAAGTAGAGACGAGGGAGGGAAGATTGAGGGGAAGTAGAGACGTGGGGGGAAAGATGGAGGGTAAGTAGAGATGTGGGAGTTAGGATGGAGGGGAAGTAGAGAAGTAGGAGGGTGGTGGAGGTGAACAAGAGACGTGGGAGGATGGAGGGTAAGTTGAGAAGTGGGAAGGGGGATATAGGGGGAGTAGAGACGTGGGAGGGAGGATGGAGAGGAAGTAGAGTAGAGACGGCAGGATGGTAGGGAAGTAGAGACGCAGGAGTGGGTAATTGGAGGATAAATGGAGACGTAGGAAGGGGGATGATGGGTAAGTAGAGGCGTGGGAGGGATGATGGTTGACGATTGAGGGGAAGTGGAATTGAGGGAGAGAGGATGGAGAGGACGTACAGAAGAGACGGTAGGATGGTAGGGAAGTAGAGACGTAGGAGTGGGGAATGGAGGGTAAATAGAAAGATGGAGGGGAAGTAGAGACGTAGGAGAGAGAGGATGGAGAGGAAGTAGAGACTTTGGAAGGATGATAAAGAAGTAGAACCGTGGGAGGGATGATGGAAGGGAAGTAGAGCCGTGGGAGGGAAGATGGAGGGTAAGTGGAGATGTGGTAGTGAGGATGGAGGGGAAGTAGAGACGTGTGAGGGATGATGGAGGGTAAGTAGAGATGTGGGAGGGAGGATAGAGGGGAAGTAGCGACGTTGAAGGGGGTTGCAGGTGAACTCAAGACATGGGAGGGAGGGGAAGTAGGGACGTGGGAGGATCGAGGGTAACTAGAGATGTTGGAAGGAGGACGAAGGGGGAGGTGAAGTAGAAACGACGGAGCGAGGAAGGAGAGGAAGTAGAGAAGAGACGGTGGGATGGTAGGAAAGTAGAGACGTGGTAGGGGGGATGGATGGTAAGAAGAGACGTGAGAGCGAGGATGGAGGGGAAGTAGAGACGTTTGAGGGATGATGGAGGGTAAGTAGAGATGTGGGAGGGAGGATAGAGGGGAAGTAGCGACGTTGAAGGGGGTTGGAGGTGAACTCAAGACATGGGAGGGAGGGGAAGTAGGGACGTGGGAGGATCGAGGGTAACTAGAGATGTTGGAAGGAGGACAAAGGGGGAGGTGAAGTAGAAACGACGGAGCGAGGAAGGAGAGGAAGTAGAGAAGAGACGGTGGGATGGTAGGAAAGTAGAGACGTGGTAGGGGGGATGGATGGTAAGAAGAGACGTGAGAGCGAGGATGGAGGGGAAGTAGAGACGTTTGAGGGATGATGGAGGGTAAGTAGAGATGTGGGAGGGAGGATAGAGGGGAAGTAGCGACGTTGAAGGGGGTTGGAGGTGAACTCAAGACATGGGAGGGAGGGGAAGTAGGGACGTGGGAGGATCGAGGGTAACTAGAGATGTTGGAAGGAGGACAAAGGGGGAGGTGAAGTAGAAACGACGGAGCGAGGAAGGAGAGGAAGTAGAGAAGAGACGGTGGGATGCTAGGAAAGTAGAGACGTGGTAGGGGGGATGGATGGTAAAAAGAGACGTGGGAGCGAGGATGGAGGGGTGGTAGAGACGTTGGAGGGGGATCGTGGGGAAGTAAAGACGAGGAGGGAAGATTGAGGTTAAGTAGGGACGTAGAGAAGAGACGGTGGGATGCTAGGAAAGTAGAGACGTGGTAGGGGGGATGGATGGTAAGAAGAGACGTGGGAAGGGGGATTGAGGGCAAGTATAGACGTTGGAGGGTGATCGACAAGAGGGAGAGTGGATGGAGGCGGGGGGGGGGGGGGGGGGGGGGGGGGGTTGGTTTGGTTTGTTTCTTGTTATGCGGCACTCAGCAATCAGCAATATTCCAGGTATATGACGGCGGTCTGTAAATAATCGAGTCTGGACCAGACAATCCAGTGATTGATATCATGAGCATCAATCCATGAAATTGGGATCGATGACATGCATCAACCAAGTCAGCGAGTCTGACCACCCCATCCCGTTAGTCGCCTCTTACGACAAGCATAGTCACCTTTTATGGCAAGCATGGGTTGCTGAATACCTATTCTACCCCGGGTCTTCACGGGTCAGGGAGGGGAGATGGAGGGGAAGTAGAGATGAGGGAGGGAAGATGGAGGGTGAGAAGAGACGTAGGAGGGGGATGGAGGGTAAGTAGAGACGAGGGAGGGGGATGGAGGGGAAATAGAGACATGGGAGGGAGGATGGAGGTTAAGTAGAGACGTGGGAGGTGGATGGAGGGGGAGTAGAGACTTGGGAGGAAGGATTTAGGGGAAGTAGAGAAGAGACGATAGGATGGTAGGGAAGTAGAGACATGGGAGGGAGGATGGAGGTTGAGTAGAGACGTGGGAGGTGGATGGAGGGGGAGTAGAGACTTGGGAGGAAGGATTTAGGGGAAGTAGAGAAGAGACGATAGGATGGTAGGGAAGTAGAGACATGGGAGGGGGGATGGAGGGCAAGTAGAGATGTGGGAAGGGGGATGGAGGGTAAGTATAGACGTGTGATTGAGTGGGAGGGAGGATGAAGGAGAAGTAGAGATGTTGGAGGGAGGATGGAGGGGAAATAGACATGAGGGAGGGAAGATGGAGGGTAAGTAGAGATGTTGGAGGGAGGACGGAGGGGAAGTAGAGGCGAGGTAGGGAGAATGAAGGGAAAGTAGGAATGATGAAGGGGACATAGAGACAATGGATTGTAAGTGATTGGGGATTAGGGAGGATGGGGTGGCGGAGGGTTGAAGGGAAGTAGCGAGTTTTGGTGGAGGGGATGTAGAGACATGGGAGGGAGGATGAAGGGGAAGTAGACACGAGGGAGGGAGGATGTAGAGACGAGGAAGGGAAGATGGACACGACAGGACACGACACGATCTCTTTATATCCGACAGAAACTGAAAATAACTTTGAAAATGCTGTAAGTACAGCCACACCAAGGAAAGATGTTTCCCATCCGTATACGGCTGATGAAGTTGTATTATATGCTTCAATATATGTTCATTTATGATCAGTGTTCCTCAGAGTGACCCACCTTTTGAGTCAGTCAGAATAATTTACCAGTCACCCATGTTTGTATTAGGAACCTTTTGGTGACAATGGCTACCCGGCGTTAAAATTTTGCACTGGTCTTATAGTGCCAAACTGCCCAATAGTTAAGGTGCCATAAGGAATAGGATAAATTTGTTCTTTCAAAGGGTTTTAAAGGTATCATTATAATGACTAGTTGGCTAAAACTAACGCTGCTACTGAGTATGAATAGTTCTAAATGGAGGACCAGCTGTGACGTGTTGTATCAGCTTATTGCCAGTGTTCATCATTGACTAACCGTAAAATGGTTTACTATGAATCATCTTGTCCCACTAACCACTGGTTTGCCTTGTCTAGGCTGGATTACCTGAAATGCCGCCATGGTAAAGTTGCAACAATGCCGATTACCTCAATCACTCACTCATGAGTGTGTTAACAAACATGTGTTACACGTTTCCACTGCTTCACTCAGAGATACAGGGATAATTCTGGGGTGGTACCTTGTGCATTTAGCCCCTAAATTTGAAAAAAGGCCCACATTTTATTACAATTGGGCATTTTAACATTGTGCTTGTATGGGCCTCCCTCTGGAATATTTGAAATTTTCACATAAAGGGCCCAGGTCAGAAAATTACTAGAGTGAACCCTGGAGATGCATGTGAAGCTTCACAGGTACTATACCTATATATATGTTGCCAACTTCTTCAGTCACTTACTCATGCATTTCCTAACAATGTGTTGCATTATGTTTCACATTTATCTTGGAGAATAGAAAATGGTACAGCCTCACTCATATAACATAGTTTCCTCCCGATGAACAACCCATATGTGGTCTCTCATTACTACATTTGTTGCAATAATATATAGTGCCAATGTGATGTAAAATGTTTACTCATTCACCCTCAGATAATGATTTGACAGTACTGCCATAGGCATCAAGTAGTGTGCAGATGTTTTGCAACATTTTTGCGCTCAATTGTTCCTCCACATTAATTAGCTCCGCGATTGACTTTTTTGGTTAAAATACAACAGTACCTTTTAGACTGCCAAGAGATATTTTATTAAGAAAGAACGTAAAGAAATGAAAAATATGTACAAATACAAATACATGTACTTCAGTTACATCCAAAATGTACGGCATCCAGCCTCCCTTCACAGCCGTTCCTATCCACTCCAGGTTTGATTACAAAAGCGCACAGTGACATATTTCCTCAACATATATTTTTCTTTATTTAAGTAAACATTCTCACAAAATTTATTTCAAGGAAAATTCAAATACAAGTCGAGTAGGACAGTACAGTGGAGGAAAGCGTAGTACAATATAGAAGAGAGTAGAATAATACAGAGTAGGACGGACTCGGACAGTAGAACAGTATATAGTGGCATGGTAGTGGAGGGCATTATAGATAAATACAGATTAGAATGGGAGGGTTAAGTATGTAATGTAGAGGGTGATAGGAAAAAACAGAGTGTAGTGGACAGTGCAGATAGAGCAATAAATGGGGGCGCAGATTCGGACAGCACGGCGGAGGATATAGTAGAGGGAACAGTACAACAGTATGAAGGAGGATAGAGTAGAATAATAGAGGGAAGAGTTGGACGATACATAGTAGGGTACAGCAGGACAGTACATAGTAGGGTAGATAAGGGCATTACTGAGAAGTGTAGATCATGACAGGACATGTTACAGTAAAGTATCTAATGGGGACATCAAATAGCTTGATAGTCTTGGAAAATATATAGAGTAGTGGACAGCTGTGCAGATAAGTAAGGAACATACGGTAAAGTAGGACAGTACAGAGGATAGATTTGGACAGTATAGCGGGGAATAGTGTAGGACATTACAGAGTAGGGTAGAGTAAGACAGCATAGAGTAGGGTAGAGTAGAACAGTGCGGAGAAGTGCAGAGTAGGACAGTATAGAGTAGGGTAGAGTAAGACTGTACAGGATAGGGTAGAGTAGGACAGTGTGGAGTAGGACAGTATAGAGCAGGGTACACAAGGGTAGAGAAGAGTAAAGTAAAGCAGGACAGAGTACGATAGAGTAGGACAGTACAGAGTAGAGTAGAGTAGAGTAGGACAGTACAGAGTAGGGTAGAGTAGGACAGTACAGAGTAGGGTAGAGTAGGACAGTACAGAGTCGGGTAGAGTAGGACAGTACAGAGTAGGTTAGAGTAAAGTAGGACAGAGTACGATAGAGTAGGACAGTACAGAGTAGGACAGTGCAAAGTAGTGTAGAGTAGGACAGTACAGAGTAGGACAGTGTAGAGAAGGACAGTTTAGAGTAGGGTAGAGTAGGACAGTACAGAGTAGGGTAGAGTAGCACAGTGCAGAGTAGTGTAGAGTAGGACAGTAAAGAGTAGGGTAGAGTAAAGTAGGACAGAGTACGATAGAGTAGGACAGTACAGAGTAGGACAGTGCAAAGTAGTGTAGAGTAGAACAGTACAGAGTAGGAGAGTGCAGAGTAGTGTAGAGAAGGACAGTACAGAGTAGGGTAGAGTAGGACAGTGCAGAGTAGTGTAGAGTAGGATAGTAAAGAGTAGGGTAGAGTAGGACAGTAGGGGGGGTTGGTTTGGTTTGGTTTGTTTCTTGTTATGCGGCACTCAGCAATCAGCAATATTCCAGGTATATGACGGCGGTCTGTAAATAATCGAGTCTGGACCAGACAATCCAGTGATTGATATCATGAGCATCAATCCATGAAATTGGGATCGATGACATGCATCAACCAAGTCAGCGAGTCTGACCACCCCATCCCGTTAGTCGCCTCTTACGACAAGCATAGTCACCTTTTATGGCAAGCATGGGTTGCTGAATACCTATTCTACCCCGGGTCTTCACGGGTCGGGGAGGGGAGATGGAGGGGAAGTAGAGATGAGGGAGGGAAGATGGAGGGTGAGAAGAGACGTAGGAGGGGGATGGAGGTGAAGTAGAGACGGGGGAGGGAAGATGGAGGGTAAGTAGAGACGAGGGAGGGGGATGGAGGGGAAATAGAGACATGGGAGGGAGGATGGAGGTTAAGTAGAGACGTGGGAGGTGGATGGAGGGGGAGTAGAGACTTGGGAGGAAGGATTTAGGGGAAGTAGAGAAGAGACGATAGGATGGTAGGGAAGTAGAGACATGGGAGGGAGGATGGAGGTTGAGTAGAGACGTGGGAGGTGGATGGAGGGGGAGTAGAGACTTGGGAGGAAGGATTTAGGGGAAGTAGAGAAGAGACGATAGGATGGTAGGGAAGTAGAGACATGGGAGGGGGGATGGAGGGCAAGTAGAGATGTGGGAAGGGGGATGGAGGGTAAGTATAGACGTGTGATTGAGTGGGAGGGAGGATGAAGGAGAAGAAGAGATGTTGGAGGGAGGATGGAGGGGAAATAGACATGAGGGAGGGAAGATGGAGGGTAAGTAGAGATGTTGGAGGGAGGATGGAGGGGAAGTAGAGGCGAGGTAGGGAGAATGAAGGGAAAGTAGGAATGATGAAGGGGACATAGAGACAATGGATTGTAAGTGATTGGGGATTAGGGAGGATGGGGTGGCGGAGGGTTGAAGGGAAGTAGCGAGTTTTGGTGGAGGGGATGTAGAGACATGGGAGGGAGGATGAAGGGGAAGTAGACACGAGGGAGGGAGGATGTAGAGACGAGGAAGGGAAGATGGACACGACAGGACACGACACGATCTCTTTATATCCGACAGAAACTGAAAATAACTTTGAAAATGCTGTAAGTACAGCCACACCAAGGAAAGATGTTTCCCATCCGTATACTGCTGATGAAGTTGTATTATATGCTTCAATATATGTTCATTTATGATCAGTGTTCCTCAGAGTGACCCACCTTTTGAGTCAGTCAGAATAATTTACCAGTCACCCATGTTTGTATTAGGAACCTTTTGGTGACAATGGCTACCCGGCGTTAAAATTTTGCACTGGTCTTATAGTGCCAAACTGCCCAATAGTTAAGGTGCCATAAGGAATAGGATAAATTTGTTCTTTCAAAGGGTTTTAAAGGTATCATTATAATGACTAGTTGGCTAAAACTAACGCTGCTACTGAGTATGAATAGTTCTAAATGGAGGACCAGCTGTGACGTGTTGTATCAGCTTATTGCCAGTGTTCATCATTGACTAACCGTAAAATGGTTTACTATGAATCATCTTGTCCCACTAACCACTGGTTTGCCTTGTCTAGGCTGGATTACCTGAAATGCCGCCATGGTAAAGTTGCAACAATGCCGATTACCTCAATCACTCACTCATGAGTGTGTTAACAAACATGTGTTACACGTTTCCACTGCTTCACTCAGAGATACAGCGATAATTCTGGGGTGGTACCTTGTGCATTTAGCCCCTAAATTTGAAAAAAGGCCCACATTTTATTACAATTGGGCATTTTAACATTGTGCTTGTATGGGCCTCCCTCTGGAATATTTGAAATTTTCACATAAAGGGCCCAGGTCAGAAAATTACTAGAGTGAACCCTGGAGATGCATGAGATGCCAACTTCTTCAGTCACTTACTCATGCATTTCCTAACAATGTGTTGCATTATGTTTCACATTTATCTTGGAGAATAGAAAATGGTACAGCCTCACTCATATAACATAGTTTCCTCCCGATGAACAACCCATATGTGGTCTCTCATTACTACATTTGTTGCAATAATATATAGTGCCAATGTGATGTAAAATGTTTACTCATTCACCCTCAGATAATGATTTGACAGTACTGCCATAGGCATCAAGTAGTGTGCAGATGTTTTGCAACATTTTTGCGCTCAATTGTTCCTCCACATTAATTAGCTCCGCGATTGACTTTTTTGGTTAAAATACAACAGTACCTTTTAGACTGCCAAGAGATATTTTATTAAGAAAGAACGTAAAGAAATGAAAAATATGTACAAATACAAATACATGTACTTCAGTTACATCCAAAATGTACGGCATCCAGCCTCCCTTCACAGCCGTTCCTATCCACTCCAGGTTTGATTACAAAAGCGCACAGTGACATATTTCCTCAACATATATTTTTCTTTATTTAAGTAAACATTCTCACAAAATTTATTTCAAGGAAAATTCAAATACAAGTCGAGTAGGACAGTACAGTGGAGGAAAGCGTAGTACAATATAGAAGAGAGTAGAATAATACAGAGTAGGACGGACTCGGACAGTAGAACAGTATATAGTGGCATGGTAGTGGAGGGCATTATAGATAAATACAGATTAGAATGGGAGGGTTAAGTATGTAATGTAGAGGGTGATAGGAAAAAACAGAGTGTAGTGGACAGTGCAGATAGAGCAATAAATAGGGGCGCAGATTCGGACAGCACGGCGGAGGATATAGTAGAGGGAACAGTACAACAGTATGAAGGAGGATAGAGTAGAATAATAGAGGGA